TGTTGGAACGCTCGTACCAATTTGAGTTATCAAACGGTCTCCGATTTTAACGAGCTTATACTCGAATCGAGCGGCTTGACGAGACGAATCCAACGAGCCCAAGATCTCCGAATTCCGACATCCCTAAGGCCTTCAAATGTCCAACGAACAGTGCACGATCGAAGGATTCAACATCAACCGTCCATTCGACCACTCCCTATTCGCCCCTGATCTCGCACATATTTACAAGCCATGCCACTCCAGAAAAATTATAAATAGAGCCCTCATTCATCACAAGAGGACTGTCGCAAGACAACGATCCTCCCGACCTCCGTCGCCCACTGACAACGTTTCTCCTAACTCACGTCGCCCGCCGACTACAGTCTTTCCGACCTCCATCACCCGCCGACTACGGTCCTCCTTACTCACGTCGCCCACCGACTACAGTCTTTCCGACCTCTGTCGCCCGCCGACTACGGTCTTCTAACTTACATCGCCCACCAACTACAGTCCTTCCGACTTTCGTCACCAGCCGACTACGGTCCTCCTGACTTACGTCGCGCGCCAACTACGGTCCTTCTGACCAAACGAACATGTCAATAGTGATTATTTGTATTCACATCATGTAATGTACTCTATAAAATGTACATCAAGCTAAGGTCTTCTCCCAATGAATGACCTCATTTGTAATCGACTACAATACTAGTGGATTCATTCAAACTGGGCTAGGCCCCGTGGTTTTTCCCCCTTTTTTCAGGGGTTTTCCACGTAAAAATCTTGATGTCTCATAAATGCTACACTTACTTATCTAATTGCGTGCCGGATTTTCGTACAATGCTAAGACGTTAAATATGATATTTCTCTACCGCCGCGAATACTCCTGGACGCAACAATTATATATTCTTAAACTATGTAAATATGTTGTAATTACTAATTAGTTTATCTTTAATAGACTCTACTCCAATCATTTATCTAATACAATCATTTTTTAATCTATCATTTCTAATTTTATCACGCCTCTATCGTAACACACTCAATTATGTCATGATTTGGGTTTTAATAACTTTATTATCGCCCAATAATCAGATCCATATTACCTATTTAAAATTTTACAAAATGTATTGATAAATCTTCATAATTTCCCCTTCATGAATACCACCCTATATTATTTTAATATGAAATATAGCACTTACATTTCTTTCCTACCACTCATATATTTCATTTCTACCACTCATATTTGATATGAAAATGAACTATGTGTGGTATGTATGTAATATTAAAGTTTTAGGTGTTAAATATGTAAATAGCATAGTATTAAGTGGTATGCATGTAAATCTCCCAAAGTAAATAATAAGCACTAATAAGCTGTAATGGTAAAAATGGTTTAGACTAAAAGGAAAGGCCGATACCTGATGGGGCAATTTCTGCTTGATCTGCGATTTCCAAAATGCATTCCCTCCAAACCGTTCCATGGAGGTCGCGGACAAGTCTATCACTGCTCTTCCCGCCGTCACTGGGCAATTCGACAGAGCAAGAGAAGCTGGTGGCTGAGCTTCGGCGCTGCCCTTCTCCGTTGAGATGGTATTTAGGGTTGCTAACATTGAACCCCTTTCTCGCTTGCCCTGCTGGTCTTCCGACAACTTGTGTGCAAAGTGCGCTTGGCGATATCGAGCTTTTGCCGTTTTGCAGAGCTCCGGGAACAGTGAGGGCGGAGGAGACTGGAGGGAACTTTTGGAATTTTGTGTCAAGTAAAGCCAAATGGAGACCTCAAAATAAGACTACAGGATGAGACCGCCAACAATATTGGTCAATCAATGGTGATTGGTGATGCCCAGCAATGCATCTAAACGCCTTCTTTTTTGAACGGTGACGATAAATAATATGCTGTTCTCTAATGGACGAGTCACAGGTCCTCGTAGTTTTCTTTTTTTTTTTTTATTTTTTATTTGAGAAATAATATACTAGGAATATTCTTTTTAATGTTAGAAAATGGAGTTCGGTTTGAGACAAATTATTGCATTTTAATGTATTACTTCATTTTGGAGTGAAAATTGAGTTTTTCGGTTGCTGATGCCCTAACATGCCTCCAACAAGACCGCCCTTCGCCAGCAAGATCCTTTCACCAGTTCTTTAGCTCTTTATCCTCCTTCACATGCAACAAGTCTTGTAGATATGCGACTTCCTAGCCTCTTCTTCATATCCGATTAGACTCATGCTTTCTTTGAAAAGACTTTTTAGTATAAAAATTTAATATTTATATTAAAAATTTTTTTCAAGAAGCAATAAAAAAAGTCAGTATTCTGTCCTGACTTTCTCTCCATTGTCATCGGGAATTTTCTTAAAAAAATAATAGAATATAATATTATGTAAAATATTTATGTGTTAAATAACTTGAAAGGTCGCGTACGTAAATTCCAAAAAAAAAAAAAAGGAAACCGAGGCAGATCAACGGCCTGTGGTTTTCACAAATGCGCCCAGATTTAAATGGAAAAACTTTGGGCAGCGGCACCCTATTAAAGAAAGAACTCGTCACCCATTAATCCAATCTCCAGCTCTCCTAAACCTGCTCAGATCTTACGAGTTAATCATCGATGAGTTCTTCCCTGCAATCCTGGGTCGCCGAGCACAAGCTCGCGAGCATTGGTAATCGTTAAAAAATAAGCATTTTTTGTTTCCTTTTGTAAATCTCCTCTCTCTATTCGATTTCCTTTCTCATCTATTCTACCATTCAATTTTGCTGCACAAAGGAACGGTGTGGGCTTCAGCGCTGGGAGCGTCAATGGCTTACTCACGCAAGAGCTCGCCACTGAAGACGAGTCTCAGGCTAATACATGCGAGGTGAGCTTTAATTGCCAAAACCAGGTTTTATAAAAGAAATTCTCTTTTATTTTCTTAAATTTATATATGCTTTCTATTTGTACTAAGGGGCTGCGTGGTAGCACAATTTAGGGCTGATTTGAGGCGGATTTGAGCGAAATCCAACCAAACGGCTTAAAATGCAAAACCAAATCTCACGGCAAATGAAAGCCGCCGTAGACGGAAAATTCCGTCTTTTTCATGCTAAATCCCTGATTTCCGAAATCCTGCTTTTTGCCGGATTTATGAAATCTATTGACCGGAGAGGAAGAGTCCGGTCATTAAATCCGTTCTATAGCTAAACAATTACACGGGATTTATCATGAATGTTACCAAACAGTTTTCAAAATTTAGGCCCCAAAAATCCTGATTGTTAGGATTTATGAAATCCTACTTGAATCAAATCCGGGTCGCTACTAATTACCAAACAACCCCCTAAGTGTTACCTAATATCTAATGTTGTGACTTACACGAAGCTGCAGGATGCACGCGCAGGCGCTGACTCTGGCTGTGCTGTCGGGCGCGGCGCTGTATCATTACTACGACGTCTTGGCTTAATGATTAGATTAAGCTTGATAACACAGGAGATGTCTGCTTACTGTGCGAACAGTTCATGGGGTTAATTACTATTACTACGTACTGCTTTTATATTGCTTTGATAGTTTAATGTAACGTTCCAAATCGATTTATTATATCGTATGGCCGCATAAAATTTATACGGGTTCTGCCTTGTGTAAAATAGTAATAACATTAAGGAAAAAATGTTCAGGATTAATTTTAATTTTTTTTAATCTGTTTAAGGATGAATATGATACAAGCGCTTATCTTAAAGCAAAATATATTTAAAATTTTAAAGCTCATTTTGATCAATTTTTTTTTTTCTAATTATAATGCTATCTTCTGTATAAGTTTTTTTATCTTCCTTTCAAATTTGTGAAGATCATCTTCTACACGATCATCTATCCATATACATGCACAAAATAACATCATGAGTGTATGGTAATAATCCTTTTCAAACTTATCTTAAGAAGTTTTGCTGTGTATTTATTGTGTACCTTCACAGAATCTGGACGATTCTCCCATCCGAATTTAACACGTAATAATTTATAATTTTTTCTTTTGGAACATTTAGCTCAATATGTCACTCAAAAGTAATGCATGAGTAGTAGTTGATGTATTATGAAAGAGCATAATATCATTACATTTGATGGCATTATGGCACCTTGAATTGATATTATACAAAGTATCCTATAAACATGAAATTTATTAACATGATGGAAGTATCTACATAGTAAATAATATCATAATATGGACACCAAATTTCAATATAAGGTCATATGAAAAAATAAATATGAACAGTACTACTAACAACCTATAAAATGTCCAAAGAACCTATTACAAATATCAAGGATAACATCCTAAAAAAGGATGATAAACTTACTCTCCAATAAATAAAAGTTGCATACTTTAAATTCAATTTAAATGCATAAAATAACACCAAATTTTAACAAAATGGACAACCTTGAAAACTGAGGTTTAACATTATCAACATATAAACATAAGTAAAAAGAGGGGAAAAACATATATACATATGTATTTATTTGCATTCTAGATATTAATAATGTTGTTATGTTTTTATAATCCTATAAAAATTCTAGATCTAATATTCTTGATTTGATATTATACCTATAATTATAACCTAAATCAAACTCTAGCTTAATATATTTAAGAAATAACATTACTCTTTATACCTGAAATAATATAAAGAAATTAATAGTTCATGGAAAGCACAGAAGAAGAAAAGGAGTGATAAAATAATGATGAATATCGATTTTAACAAATGTGATTAAAAATATTGGTGAATATGGTGAACATATGAGGTGATGGAACGTAAATTGAGAAGGAAATAAAGAAATACAAATAAAAAATGAATTGTAAATTGAGCTCGAAGTATGGAGAGACAACTTTCTTCATTAACTGATCAGCAGTTTCATTAGCCATTTTCCAGAGAGAGGACGCGTTAGTATATTTGGCAATTTATATCTTATTTACCCTTAGCTCACTGAACAAGGAAGTATTAATGTTTCTTAACAATGGAAGTTTTTTTTCATTATGCAGAAACAAACATTATAAACTAAAAGCACGTTGTTAGTATGAAGATCTAGTGATCAAATGAATGCCATTTTTCTGCTCTTTTAGATAAATTATTGACTAAAATGATGAGTCATACACTGTTTGGTGAAAATTATTATTTTTGACATAGAAGAAAAAGCAAACAACCCTGTTGCCATTGAAGCATCATAATTTATAAAAATAAAATATGACCAAAGAAGAAAAAAAAAAAAATTAGATAAGACAAAAAAGGATATACAAGCTGTTACCTAGATATACTGGTTATTGGGAGCCTCCGAGTGGGCAAATTATTAGGTGCGGACACCGGACAGAGATAATCATCCGGATTTCTCTCTATAAAAAGTAAAAGCACAGTTATTGTAGCAGCAGCGCTTTGACAGCGCTTTTACTGTAGACAGAGAAATCCGGATGATTTTCCCTGTCTGGTATCCGCAACTAATAATTTCTCCTCCGAGTGTGATGCAGAATGGCAGAAATCCTTGGTGACATGACTCATTGGTAAGTTGAGGCTAATGAACATTGTTAGAATTCCAATTGCACAGGCAAACCAGATAGATATGTATCCTGATAACCCGCTGCACGGCAAGACGTTGGCTCTGTGCAAGCAGCTATGTTCACCAAATCAATAAGCAGAAAACATGATTGAAACGCTATCTTGCTTCGTAGTTGTCATCGGCATAGATGGAAACGCAAGCATCAGCTGCGCCAGCTGCTAGGAGGACCTTATAAGGGTGGAAATTGAGGCAATTGACAGAACCAATTCGTTGAGCCATGAGAGTAGGGTAATATTTGATGATACTCAGTTGGTCTCCATCTAGACTAAAGACCTTAAAGATCTGCTTGGATGATCCACTGGCAATAACTGGTGCATGGCGGTGAATAGCAAAAGCTGTCAAAGAACCCCTATGGGCATCAATTGTGAGGTAAGCTTCAGAGTGGTTTCGAATGTCCAAAAATTGTATATCCCCAGCTTGAGATGCACTCACAATCTGCAATCATATCACATTGCAGAGATATTACAGCTGTTTTCTTAACAAAAAAATAGATTACTCGAGAATTTCTACATTCAAAACTCACTGCAATCTAAAGACATTACCTTATCCTGCTGGTCCAAAAAAAAAAAAAACACCAGTACTGCTTTAAGTACATAACAATCAAATCAAAATAGAATGATTTGAAAGTGTAATAGCGACCGTAAGCTATTACAATACGTCTCAAAACATAGTGGTTTTGAAAATTTTGGCATTTGAGTTGAAGTAAAACAAATGTAGTTTAAAATTTTGGTGCATTTAGAATGCGTCATCTAGTTCATTTTTGGTGTATTTGGAATACCTCTGATTTGGGTAAGTTCCAAATACATCACAAATTCATTGTAATTGTCGCCGATCACCACTGCCTCCGCCAACCACCACCACCGTTGTTGGCTTCTGCTGATCATCGCAGTCGCAGGCTGCCGCCTCTTGCCGCCCCGACCACCCACGGTGAATATGAAAGCAACAACTATGGCACAACACTAAGACAACATGGACAATAACATCAAATTGGCTCAAGCTTCTCAATAATAACATCTCCATTGCTTGACAAGATAGTCAATGGTCAATTGCGACTTGACCTTGAAAATGGATTGATCAAGCCAAATGAAGAGTTGCATGGCTCAATAAATTCCTCAGGTAGGACTCAAAATAGCTGGAATAAGTGTAATGGCGACGATGATGTTAAATAATTATAGCTTATCATGGAAACAAAAGCCTTTCCTTGGGGTTCAAAATCAATGACAAATATGAGCATCCAAGACAGCTACGATACATCATTAATATATATACAGTAAAACTTGAAAATAAAAGATACACCATTCCAACATAAAATTACTTCAAAGATGGAAAATTCCGACCTTCGGTAGTGTTCAAGATGATGTCATGACATTTTTGAGGGGACATAAGGATTTGGATTTTGAGTGATTAGGACAGCTCATACGCGTAAGACCCCAATTTAATTTGGAATTTATATTTTTTTAACCAGGGACTTTGTTGGATCAACCAGGGAGTTTGGCTAACCTGGGCTTAGGCTTGCCATCCCAATTAACGAATTGGACATTGATCTTGGGCTTTAATAACCTGACCCTAGCTCAGTAGAACTAAATCGAAATCTAGAGTATTGAAATATCGCTAAAATGGACCCAACTTGAAAAAGCTAAAGCCTATATAAAGACTTTGGGTTTATAAAAGCTTTGGGTTTTGATAAACGAGACCCGTTAAGAAAAAAATTAAAAAAGGACCATGGTTTAACTTTTGAACACATTAAACTTGGACCTCACTTTTGGGCACTTAAAAATTGGGCCTCGCTTCTGGTTTTGGTGACCCTACCCAACCAGGTTGTCCCAAGTTTGTCTCACATCGGGCTAAATTGGTACTTCATTTGAATTCTAACAATCATGGATCAAGCTTGCCTTTGTGAGCTTAATTGAGAGTTGATTTTAGGTTTTGATAACCCATACCTAATTCGTTTATTATGAGCTAAACTAGGTTTTGATAATCCAACTTGGACACCAGCTCTTTCCCTAGTGGACATAGACAAGGCCTCCTCTCCCAACTCTAGTCACACCCTTTTAACTACTTAATCACCAAATTCTCCAGCTTCGCCTTGGTAATGATGCTTAACGAGAATTTTATACTCCTTTCACTATCACACAACTAATTTCCTTGACCATGACTTTCCCAACAACACCTATAGGAATGACTTCAAGAGCACCATCCTCTGGTTCGACTTCACCTCCTCAACTTAGCCTTTTCCTTCATCTCACTTGTCCTTATGCTCATCCAACACCTTGTACTCCTCTGGCTCTAGTTCCGTGATTGCATGCACCTTCAACTTCGTCGAGTCTATATTCATGGATGAAATTTATTAACTTCTGCAGTACTCCATAAACAAGTACCAAATAGTGATACAAAGATGAATCACAATGTATGCGCTCCTCTCATAATGCCACCACCATCTCCTTTAAAATTTTGGAGTATTATATTTATGTTAATGACAAACATTTATGAAAAATGATGATGATAGAAATGAATGAAGAAGAAGCAGAATGAGATATTGGACCCTACAGGATGAGACAGGGAAGAAACCAATTTATTATGACAGTGACTCAAATAATAATCCCCTTGGTAGTGATAGTACAGATGATTTCTGAGTTGTTGCCAACTATTTCAGTTTTCTTTAATAATTAAATGTAGATGAGTAGACAACTAAGAAAAAAAAAAAAAAGAGCTGAACATGATGTTGTTCTATTCCTATAATATTTGAATTTCAATTCTATTTCACGTCATTTTTTATTTAACACTTTACATCTTATACAAAATTTTGTTTTATATGTATGTAAATTTGTTACTTCATAGTTCAATTATTTGGATATTATATACAAAATTACTTTTAGCTTTTATTTTGATATTACGCAATTTTTAGATTTTGAGGCTTATGCCTCAAAACGCATTGAGGCTTACGCCTTGCCTCACTTACAAAAAACGCCTCAATACACAATTGCGCAATTTTAAACCTTGTTCAAACCTGTTCTCACTAGTTTGATGCTAGGTCGATTTTTTATGAGGACCAAACTGACCATATGATTGATTCACGATTGAAGTGGTTGAACCAACTGATCTGGTCTGATTTTCAAAGCCATGACTATAACTAAGAACTCTGTTTATTAATATGGCTAAATGGTCTCGAACTTATAACCCTAAGTTTAAGGGAAATCCAATATAGGTGTGTTTGCTTTGAATTTAAAATGGCCAATAATTATGAGTTTTATGATCTCATGCTTAAGAAAAGATAACTTGAAGGTGTTGACTCATTAGAACCCTTAGATCAACTAACAACAATAACAATATCAAGCATTTATCCCACTATGTGGGGTTGGCTATATTAATCCTTTTTCTCCATTGTGTCCTATTAAGATTCTCATTTAAATCTAATAAATGAATTTTATTTTTAATATTTTCTAACCAAGTCTTTTTAGATCTACCTCTACCTTTTTTAACATAAGCCAAATATAATACATGTAGTCTCTTAACTGGGTCATCGGAAGGCCTCTGTTTTATGTGACCAAACCCTCTAAGGCGACTCTCTCATTAGAATCCTTAGATCAACTAACAACAATAACAATATCAAGCATTTATCTTGCACTGGAGCTACTCCAACCCTTAGATCAACTAAGAATCAATACAATCAAATCCAGGCTATTGGCCCACATGCCTAATAAATTAAGTGTCATGATTCTAAAAAGAGTTTTCATGAACATTTTAAGTATGTTTAGGACAACTTTCTCACTGCTTTCCTTTCTAGATTGCAACCACAATTATGTTTAACCTTCCTTTTTTGTTGCTTTCCCATTATTTTTCAAAAAATTTTGTGACAGGAAGCTGTTTGTTACAATCAAGTTACTAATGTGTGAAAACTTTAAGAAAACAATTGTTTGATTACAAAAAACTTATTTATAATATTCACAACAATTTAAAAAAAGTTACTTCCCAGCTACAACCTTACAACTACGTTTAAAAATTGTTGCAACTTTCCAAAACAGACTATTTGGTTATCTATCTGCCCATGAGCTAATCATGATCATGCATGATGTCTACAATAACTGTCTTGTCATTTGAACATATTTTTGATGAATTATGCCCTGAACATAAGTGATCCATCATCACACCTTTTTATATATTTCTTTTATTATAGTGCTTGAATTGTGAAGCCCTGGACATTTTTTTAGAGACGTGGGCTACTTTTTAAGAATTTTGTGATCCATAAACATCGTATGACATTAATCTTAATATGCTAGCATGATTATGTGCTCACACAACTCCTAATAAGTACTAAGCTTTGGCGGGAAGGATTAACACAATTTTCCATGAGTCAATTAGAACTACAATTGAGAGAGACTAAAAGGTAAAAGAGTAGGAGAAAAAAGTTTACCCAAAGAAATAGGAATTACGAAGTTCCGGTACGATCGTTTGAATGTGTGAGCAAGAGTGGTCAGCAACTCTAACTCCCTAGTGACATTTGGACAGTATTCTGGCAGTTTCTGGGTGGAGGACAGCCAACTAGCATAGTCTGAAATCTGTAGACAGCAAACTGTAGGCTCAGGACAGCAGTTATCAAAACTCCTATCCCCGGGATAGATTATGGAACCAATCCAGGAAACTGGACAGCAAGCTGGAGGAGGGAATTCCAGGGATTTCCCTAATGGATGCATGAGATCGTGAAGAAAGAAGTGAATTATGTGGACAGCTTCTATAAAATGTTGTGAGTTCTGGACAGCAGTCTATGGCCTTCAGGGGTGCAGGACAGCAAGTCAAACTTGCTGGAATACGTGGACAGCAGCAGAAATCTCAGGGAAAAAAAGGAAGTAATGTGGGAGAGGGCTTGTGAGAGGGCGGTTACTTAGTGGGATTGGATGGGGAAATAATAGGAGTAATTATTGGGGTTAATTGAATTGGAGAGAGGTGGTTTGCCGGCCCTGCATGGGGGGAATTGATTGGGGATTTGAAATCCTTTCCAAACATAAGATGTTAATTAAGGAAAGAGTATTAAGAGAGGATCTCTCATTATTTCAGATTTGAGGAGATTTGGAAAGTGTCTAAATTAGATTAATCTTATTTTAGGAAAGGATTCTAATTCAAATAAATTTGAATTTGAAATTTGAAATCTTTCTAAATTTAAGAGGATCTAAATTAGGTAAGTCTTCAATTCTCTCCCTAGAGGAGATTGGAAAGAAAGGGAGGAGGGGCAAGTAGGGCAGGCGGAATTCTTGGAGTAGGGATTGATTGGAGGGGTTTCCTTAAGTGATCTCGGCTAATATTCCTCTTAATTTTAATTTAAAGTTAGATCCAAGAATTGAATACTTTCCTAATATAGATTATGTCGATTTAGGAAAGAATTCAAAATTTGAATTTAAAATCCGATTTTGAGTTGGATTTCCCTCCTAATCTTCATGCTTCTATTTTGGAAAGAAGCAAAATAATCGATTTTGGATCCATGGGAGGGGAAGGCCGACGGCTAGGGTTTGGGATTTGGGTGGCTTTAGGCTAGAGAGGGAAGGGGTGTGAGTTAAATGGAGTTGACTTGGCGTTTGGGGTGGAGAGATGATTGTTCGGCGGCTTGGAATGGTGGATGGGGTGAAGGCCGGTGGTGGGGGAGGGGAGGGAGCTAAGGTTGGTGGCTTGAAGAAGAGAAGAAGGGGAAAACTAAAAATAAAATTGATAGAACAACGAATCCTGACGCTTCCAAGGTTGGTGGGTGATCTGTTGCCCTTCACCAAGGGACTTCTCCAAAGCTCTCTCCAAGAACTCCCTCAAAACACACAAGTGCATGAACCATTCATTAACCCTCCAAGAAGAAGATGGAGGCTTTAAATAGCCAAATACATGAAGGGAAATAACAAAGACACTATTGCCCCTAGAGCATACATAAGACAAAGCCCTCAAGTGAGGGTAGAAAGGGAAAAAGAACAATAACAAATTAAATACATAAAATAGATCAAAATAAATAGGCACGATCGTAGCCGTAGATCTCTAATGTCCTCATCACACACCTTTCAAAGTGAATATATATTACCTTGTTTGTATGCCTACATGACAACATGATTTCAATTGACTTAAAAGTTAACCAAGGGTTCATGATGATGAATTTTACAATCCAAATAATTTTATTTTAATTATTTGTATTTCTTATTCTTTTTTAGGCTCCAATTCTAATTATGGGCAAAAGGTTTTTCCATTTTCACTAGTGGTTTCAAAAATGACATTGCCACAGCTACTCAAATTAGAGGTTATTGGTATGTCGACAAAGTTGAAGCCATGAGATCTTCATACCACCAATGGCTACGAACAATAAAGTAACTGCCAAGTTTTGCTTAAGCATGACATCCATATGGGAGGATTCACATCTTCGAATACGGATTGAAGATCGATTGAGCGAGGCAAAACTTTGGTCACAACAACGATCAAAGGTGTGAAGGTCTTCAAGTTTCAGCACAATCAAAGATCATCGACACTAAGGTCTCAAAATTTTCGACCAGATCAAAGATCAACAATGTGGTATTTGCTAATCAAATTGAAGATTTTCTTTTCAAAATTTTAATGATGTGCATTTTATTTAAAGTGTTTTCAATGCAAAATCTTAAGCGAGATCATTCCAACAACATATTTCCCTTCAAGCGGGCCACTTCAACACCTTCCCTAACTCTAGCCAAAAGTTGTAAGCATGTCAAAAACACCAAAGCCACATGATATTCGTAGTTGTCGCAACTAAAAAGCAATGAGGTTTACTTGTCAATGGTAAACATTCATCTCTTTGAACTTGAATCAAAGATCAACTAAGGAAAAACTCTGTATGTATTGGAGATCAACGATGAGAAGATCTTCAAGCTTCTTCTTCTTTCGAATCGAAGTTTAAATAAAAAATTCATATGAATTTTTTATCAACAGTAACCTTCATATTAACTAAATTAAAGATCAACGATTCTTTAAATTATTCACTATTGCATTTGCATGCTAAGGAGTTGTCGAGAGATAAGGCCAAAATAATGCATGTTTGCACAAAAGAAAATTGTTGGGCTTGAGTCGGATTATGAACTGTCGATTTATCAACGATAAGAAAATTGTGAGATGGAGAACAATTATATGAATTCCATTATTAGGGCTAATCTTGACAAAATCAAGCGATCAAGAGATGAAGCACTGGCATTAGATATAGGTGAAGCTACAAGGAGGGGGTGAGTGGTATGGAGGCCATAAGAGCACGTTAGAGAAAGAGACGTGAGTCCATAGGAGGTCACAACCAAAGTGGCCTCTTGAGCATTGTAAATCATTGAAAGTCGGCGAAAGTATTAGGATGAAATCCTTATAGTTCTTATAGAGCCTAAGGATTTTAGGATAAGGGGTGGGCAGAGCTCAAGACACTATGAACCTTTAGAGTCCACCCAATCACCAGAAAAAAAAAAGAGAAGAACGAATTATAACTTTTACTCAAACCCAATGTCATCCATTTTCTTCTCTTGCTCAAGCGCCCACTGAAGGCTTTAATTCCATATTTATTAGTAATTGATGAGTCACAATATTGGCGTAATAATGATCCAAGTGGCAAAAGTTACTAAGGAGACAACCAACTATGAGCCATTTTGCAAGGGGAAGACAAACTAGAAGATAGAGTTGGCAAGGTCATTATGAATGGTTGGGTTGCAAGTCCTTATTTGAGACGTTAAGGACAGTGTGGCTTGGGTAAGCCATGCAATCATGTTCGTTAGCCACAAGAGGATAATAACCAATGGTTATCCATTATAAAATGTGGCATTCACGGGCGCAACTTAAGATTGGAGAGGGTACATTTATAAGTTACAGTGAATTCAAGTGCAGGTGCATGATTAAACTAGTAGCCATTGATTTTATAAAATTTAACTTAGCCATATTTGGTTTAGGTTTGCTTGAGTTTATACAAACAATGTTGAATTGAACCATATTAATTTATAGTAAGTTTAAGTTAAGCTTGAGTAAATTAGGGTCGAGCATGAGTGAATTGGTTTAGGCCTATGCAAATTGGGACAAACTTGCGTACTTTGGCTCAATTAGTCGAGGTTACAATTGAGTGGATTTAAATTAGATCTAAATGGATTTGATTGAGCCTGAGAAGATTGGTTGACATCTAGTCAATTTAAGTCAAGCTTAGGTGAGTTGACTTGGATTCAAGCAAGTCATGTTGAAAACTAAATAGATTTGAGTTGGTTGACAAAATCCAAGTGGATAATTCGTAGTTATTGTTGGGCCTATGTTTAATAAAGAAGTTATTTGTTAATCTAGAGTAGTTGATTTTGGCAACACCGATTCGCCTAAAAAAACTTGAGTTCGTAGGTTTTGAATCAATCTTAGAGGTTAACAATGCATGGAAAACCTTTGTAACTATTCTTCCTTTCTTAGGTAAAATATCCTTTGTCAAAATAGTATAAACTGCAAAAGAGATTGCAACAACTGAAATTTTATACTTGAAAAAAAAAGACATGCTGCAGGAAACATATTGCAGTAAACAATTTGGCATACCATCAATAGTATCCAGCTAAACTAGCGTGTATTAAGAATGGATCTATAAGGTCATGCAACAATGAAGTGAAGAAAACCTATGAAGTCAAAAGGGAAATAGAAAAAGATAACCAAAAAGATGGTTTTATAAATATTACCTTAAATTGATCAAGCTCTGGTAGAAATCCAATCCCAACAACTTTCTCCGCCCTTTGAGTATGCAGTCTTGTTGCACAAACAGGCCTAACATAACAATTGCAAGTGACAAATAATTGGTATGATCAAACAAACGCAAACTATAGGTCATGCTTGGAAAGCATACAAAATAATGTAATTCTAAAAAATAAAGATACTTATCATGATTTTAAAAGGAAAAATTAAAACTTAAACCAATATCAGGTTTCAAAGATATCCTTACATGTCCGGAGTTCTAACATCAAATATTCTAACTGATCCATCAACAAAACCTGCCACAATCTGACCTCCGCGAACTTGAGAAGCAGACTATCAAAGCACAAAGATATGCAAATATCAAAATCCAAGCACATATGTATATGGAGCATACACATGCACACAAATCTTCACAACAACTTCCCCAGAAAAAGGAAAGTATGCCAGCACTTCTATGACAAAAAACACACACAAACGGATATCATATTCTTTATCAATTTATTGTTGTTGAAATACAAAATCAACAAAAAGAAATTAAAAATCAAACAATCTTGTTTGTTTCTATTATGTACTTCATTATTAATGTTATTCCAGCAGTACAAAAGAAATGTAAGCCTCCTGTCCAATAATAGAGATAGAACTCTACATAAACATCACATTACTACCAAGACTTTATTTCTGCCCTTTGGGGACGGCCTTGAGGGGAAATAAATAATTATGGAACAAATAGATGAGCATGCTCTCCTTGCATGTCCAGCGATATAGTTGAAGTTTAAACCCACCTCATGATGACTATTCTGCATCATCTAGACTACCATAAGATACTCAAATGCATCCACATGAATGAGCATCGGTATTTGGGAATATTACTTTAAGCAGATATCAAGTTATTAGAAAGAAAATGAAAATTGAAAGATGACATATACATATATAACCACACAACATGGGTGGGAGTTGAACCCTCACCTGAAGCTGCAATATAGGAGCAATACAAAAAATAATCAAAAGCCGGCTAATGGATTTATGTAGCAGAACTTTGCTATCGAATACGGTGTTGCAATTGGCTTATGAAGTTGTCACTGTAAGGTTTCAGGGTGCTTGGAAAAGTGGTGGTTAATTGTAGACTATATACATTACGGGAGGCTGCATAGGTTATTGGTTGAGAAGAAGTGTTGGATTGGCATAAATGAGGAACAATAAGGTGGATATGAGTTGTAGTTACTAGCAACCATAGAGGAGGGATGAGGCTTTTAGGCCATGCCACGTTGATGTACTGTAAGTTCCTTTAATTTTTACGGGAGTCTATTTTGTATTTGCCTTTTTTTATACTTAAAAGTATTTATTCGCATTCTTATTAGTTGTGTAATAAGAATATATTAATGTCGTGATCATTTTTATCAAATTTAGTCATCTAATATAACTCCTGAGTTTATACATGGGATTCCAATATCGTTCTAAGATACTTGATTAATATAAGATAAGCTAGAGAAAGAGTTTTGTCAATTCTCCCCCTTCCTAAAGTTTCTCCTTTATTACTTCATCTCTATCCCTCGCCTCTCTCCATCTAAGAAGTTCATTCGTCTATCTCGTCAAACCCTTTGTTTCTCAATATTATCAACCTCCAAAATTAAACTCATCTAATTCAAGCTGTGCAATATTAGCTAGTATCAAAGCCTTAACCTGATAAAAATCTTTGTTATTTACCCTGTAGTACCCTGTCTGTGTATCTTCTACTCACAACATGCTCTCAACTTCACTCAACGTACGCCCATGGCTTGTTCACACCGCCCTAGCTCTCTTACCTACTTATATAACTAATGCAAACCATCATACTTGCATCATGACATCACAAAATACTCCTATCCTTTCCTTAAGATTTTGTGCAGCTCAACTGACCCAACAACATTGAGCCCATCTCGATGAGACCATAATATGCGCTTAAGAAGTATACACACCTCATAGCATGCATATCATGATGCAATATAAATAAAATAAGGATGCAATGATTTCAGTAATTAATAACTCAACATTCAAGACACATTCGACCACAGTCACTCACACAGCAAGTTACATACACAAGCTCTCGAAATGGCTTACCAGTGCAGATATGCTGCTGTCCGATGATGATGAAATGAAACTAATATTTTGCTCCTTATCGAGATCCCAAATTAAGATGGAGGATATCTCACTAGAAGCATACTGATAAAAGAAAACATGATAAAGAATAGAAACTTAGTTATGCATTAAGGAAATAAAATAGCAAAATGAGAAGAAAGAAGCGGAAAAATAGTACCAAATATCCAGATTGTTGCTGCCAGTCAACTACAGCATTTGAAGCTAGAACACCAGCTCTATGACTTTGAATAGATGAGAATGCTGTCACAAGCTTTTGTCTATCCTTCAGAGTATAATTTTTCCATACACGAATATTTCCTTCACCTGCATACAAGGTAACGTCATCATAAACCAAATAAACAGCAAATATATCCACTCGACTGGTTATCAAATCACTATAAATAACTGGAAAAAGGAAGCTTACTCGAAGCAACAAGAAGCAGGCTATCATCAAGTTCATTCACAAGGCAGAGCTTAGAAATTCCTCCATCTGAGGAATAATGGTTGCTAAAACTGTTTAATTGTGTCGCATCTTCATAGTTCCATACCCTAAAAGGTTAAACAAATGGTTAGCAAAAACCAACATAGCATGTCAACATTAACATTACTGGCATGGTTGAATGTGAAGATCAGCATCAAGAGAAGTTTACTAATGCGTCCATCAATTGGGTCAATACATAAAATATGGTGAAATAGAGTTGGCATATCAAATGAGTGAAATACAAATCCAAATCAGAGCAAAAGCATCATCAGTAAATCAAACAGTTTAAAGTAATGACCAGATATATTTGACAATCAGGCAAGGCATGATTAGGCTCAGTGATGTACTTCACCACAGCAATTTGACTTTGATTGAGGAGAAGAGATGGATTACCATTAAAGCATGGCATGTAAGAAGCAGTACTGTGGGGGAACAGGGCTTGGAGGCGTCAGATGCGTTATGAACTAATTAGTAGGTATTTACATGCGATCAATATAAGAGAAAGAAGGAATTTTTTTATGCTTGAGATTAATGGAAATCAGGAGGCATCTTTAATTGTAAGAAGAAAAAGAAGGGAGACAGATTCATGTGGATAGAGATAACTGGGAGGGAGGGAGAGAAAAGTGAAAGGAGGACTATAACAAATAATTTTAATTGCACTTCATGGATAATTAAAATACATCTATCATTCCATAATTATAGAAATAAGGTTACAGACAAAACTCAAAACTAATCCTTAACCAAATTGAAATATAATCCTAACTACTAATTGAAATCTAATCCTAACAACTAATTGAAATATAAATCTAAGGCAATCCAAAAACATAATTCATCATAATTTAAATCAAAATAAATCTAATAAATTCAAAGAGATAATTCATTCTAATTTAAATAAAAACACTAAAAAAAAATCAAATTATTTTTCTGAACAAATTATCTAGATTTATGTCTTGCCAAAAATTTAAGGTCCATATGTTGTATCAATTCTCTCAAGAACAAATGAATGAGATTCCAAAGAGTCAAAAGTGTGGTACTTGACTACTAGATCTAGCACCATCTTCATCAACTCATCCTATGTCTCAGCAATCTTCAATTTGAGATTGATTTTTTGATGTGATACATGCGAGGAGTTTACAAGAGATTAACAAAATAATTTATTAAAAGTTAACCATTATAAAATTATGCGTCAAATCAAAGTAAAATGTTATAAATTCGCAATCTTCAACTTGCTTAGGCAAAGAAATAAATGAAGATTAACAAAGACGTTCTTAATCAAATACAAAGGCAAACGTAATGTAATAGCTTATAACACAAATCTGAAATTTAATATTGAGATGTTCACCTTGAGGGTTTACTCTCTCTCTCTACAGTTCTAAGGCTTAGTGGTTGAGGATCTTCTACACTAGACTTGAAATGACCACTAGGAAGAAAGAGCCGAGGAGCTTGGTTGTTGGGAAGGTAGCCAGAGGTAAAGGAGGCAAGGATCGTCCAACGAGGAACCACGATGTTCTTGGTCATTGAAGCTCGATAGTCTCGGCGAGGTAGTAGACGATGTAGTTGACGTAGCGTTCCACCGTGCCGTCGTACTCCCAATCTGGTTCGTAGAAAGCAGATAGGAAGATATCTATCTCTCCTTGGGCATTATAAACAAAGCCATGGTCGATCTCAGGATCGGCCATACATGCTTGCCTTGAATGGAGTCAAATACAAGAGGGGAAGGAGAGAGTTTGCATGTAGTGTGTTTTGACAGAGAAGAGAAATTCGAGCGAACTTGAGAAAAGAAGAATAGATGTTCGATCGTGCGATCCAGGTCGCTGATGTTTGATGAAGATAAAGGAGAAAAAGAGGAGTTCACTCGTGGGTGTAGTGAGTCTTTGTGCGACCTAATTGCTGGAGTAGGAAATCAAAGAAGAAAATGGGCAGCTATGCATTTCCTATTCGACAAAAAAAAAAAAGCATCATGCGACCTGTTCAAAGATAGAAGAAAAGGAGAGGTTTATGTTTGGTTGTAAGGTGATTCGGACCTGTTTGCCAAAATTGAAATCATAAAAGAAGAAGCATCATGCAATAGGTTCAATTGCATCAGAGGCAAAGAGAAAGAGACAAAAAATAAATGAATTTCCTACCAGTGTAGAAAAGAAGAAAAAGAATCAATTTGTATGATCTCAATTTGACCAAAGGAAAGAACATGTGAAAGTAAGAAAGGAAAATTTTTTAAACATAATTTGAATAAATTTTTTATAGAATAAAATATAAAATGCAATTAAAAGGTGAGTTAATAATTAGATGACTTCCATGTTAACGATGCTTTTGCATGGTCTTTGATGATATTCGATGGGTTCGACATTGACTTTAAATATGTTCTATGAGTTTAATGTTATCTTTGATGACGTTTCCTACCATCAATGTTGCTCTTAATTCGACATTTCAGACGTTACTTTGCATTTTGTTAGAAATTTTTATTGTTGTATTGGACAATGAACAAATTAAATAGTATAGTTGAAGAAATACAATGAAGGCAAGCAAGAGTACTCTTGAAAAATAAGGAAGGTTTAAATTTGTTATTGCTTTTTTTTTTCAAATTAATTAGAAATTTTAATATAAATATCAAATGACTTAATCATTTAAATGATGGCTAGGTTGTGCACTAAGGATCAACTAAAAATTTAAGGAATATTGATGTGAAACCCCTTAAAGTAAAAAGAAGTTAAAATTTTAAACATCGAGGTGCCTTTATTAATGAATTCTCTTGATTATAGGCCTTGAAGGCCTAATATGAATGTATTAAAACAAATACACTGGTCACCACAACCGTGTACTTGTTTGAAGGTTCGAACCCTGTCGACTCCTATTGATCCAAATAGAAGGATCGGGTTCGAACTAGAATTCACTTATTGACCCACGCAGCATCCCTAAACGTCACATGTGTACCAATAACATGTTCGCTGGGGCCCATGAGGGTATTTGGGGGCATTTTATAATTGAACCATGTCAACTCCTTTTATCTACTTAGAAGGATCAGGTTCAAATTTAATAATCCGCGCAGCATCCCTAGACGTCACGTGTGTACCAATAACACGCTCGCCGGGGCCCATACGGGTATTTGATTGTATACCCTCTTTTAGTGTACCTAAGTGTGTACAAACTAAAGTGCATGTGTGAGGGCATTTTGGAATATTTGTGAAACGCCTTCTGTCCGCTTCCAATAATATTGCGGATCCGGTGGCGCGAAGTAGCAGCTTCTAAATAGAATTGTTCGCTGCTTCGTACAGGTAGACTGTCGTGTACTACTCGTTGCTTTCTGCAGGTGGTTCGTAGTGTACCAACTAATCTCCTGCCTTGTGTTCGTTGATGTTTGCATTCATTGTAGTTCTTTGGCATTTGTTCGTAGATTGTATGTAATATTCACAGAGGGGAAAAAGCTCGTGGGGGCTTGTATCTGTCATATTCTTTATGCACTTTGTTATGGTATTTGGCTCGTGTAGTACATCCGCCATTGCTACAAGTAGGCAGGTAGATATATTCCTTCACAGACTGGAATTGACTTCAGGATACTGCATTTACTGAAGTCTTTCTACATCTACCCATCAGTGGCATGTGGCACATACATTTGTCTTTGTAGAAATATTGTATGTGTTGCAGATCTTTAATCATTGTTTGCATGTAGATCAGTTATCACTCTACAAGATATTTTAGGTCATGGTCTTATAACCACAACATATCTTTCAACATCTTCTTGTTATTTGTAAGCACATCGCACTTGCAAGTCTTTTATCTTCAAAGGTGGTTTATTCGAATGATTTAAACCATGATTTGAAATTTGCTTGCTTGCATGAGATTCAGATGGATCACCCTCTTTGATTAGCATTTGCAATTCCCTCGTTATTATATCTTCTTGTAATTGAATTGTTGTTGATAAGAGATATGACATTACGTTCCTTATAGCTCCTTTGATGTCGCTTGTAGTATGTTGTGTGCACTTCTACATTTGTAATGAACAAAATGAGCCACACTTATTGTTGATTTATCCATGCAAACCAAATATCTTTGTTTATAGGAGCAATTGAATTTTCTTGTATAACGGTGCAGATATCACTTGTTGTCACTTACCAAGTTGATTTTTCTTAAATGTTACAAGCCATTCAATTCTATCATTCATCATTTGTATGTCTTGAGAATTCAATCAACATTCTTTATGAGTTCTAGCTTGTACAGCTGCAAATGTCTTGTTGGAATTAGGCTGGCCTATTGCATCTTGGTCTAACTTTGATTTCACATGATTTGTTAAAGTCCAAGTCCTAAATAATCTTGTTGAATTCAAGCTCAAGTTCAAAGTTCTATGTATTTGCTCTTTTGACTTTAAGTCCAAGTTCATGTTAATGTCATGTCCTTTGTTCATGCTTGAGTTCAAGTATAGTTCAGGCTCTTAGTGAGCCTCTTCCATCCTTTCGAGTCCCCTGCTGTTCAAATTGCAAGCTCTATGTAGTTCATACCATATTCAGGTTCAAGTTGAGTTTTGCTTGAGTCCAAACCGAGTCTACAAGTTTACTTGCCCAAGTCCTTGCTTTGGAGTTCAAATTATGTTCACTTGATTCAAATTCTGAGTCTTTCTTCAATTCTAATTCTTATGATTTACTTAAGTTTGGATTCAATTAGAATTGAATTTATTGCATCAAAGTTCACAAGTTCGAGTCCACAATTGTTCTTTTTGAGTTCAAACAGGTCCAAGTGCGGTCGTACATTCACCCGAAATTTCGGCAACCTCCCGGTGTCTCCCCCGTTTAGGGGAAAACTACAAGAAACTGGGCCTTTCCCACCACGCGCAATAAAAGCGTGTATGGTAGGTGTCCTTGGACGAGGACACCGCGACCATGATTTTTTGCTCCTCCCACCACGCACAATAAAGGCGTGTATGGGGTCTTTGACGGTACTTGTTTAAAAGACACAATTTGCTTTCCCCCCGCTCGGGGGTACTTATAAGTGACCCCGCCTCGCCGTAGGCGCCGCACCGGGGTCCCATCCCACCTATCTGAGCTTCGGGAAGCTGAAGGCCGCATATGAGAGGAATTTTCGGAGCCCACATACGTTACTGGTCATTTGTTGCTTATGGTAGGAGAGCTATTGTGCATTACAAGTTTTGTTGGATTTGTTCGATGGTAGTGCGCCGTCAGCAGATGTTGAAAAGTCGTTTGCTATTGCATGAAAGTGAACTGCATTCCACGTATATTTTGTTTGTAGGCGGGTCTTAGCGCTGCGCTACGGGTCGCCTGCTGCTTATTGCAGGCAAGCCATCGTGCACTGACGAATCTCCTATAGCAGCTCGTACGTGCTCACATTTATCACAGTTCTTTTTGCATTTGCTTGCAAATAGCACATTGTGTACAAGACGGATTTTCTACAGTAGCTTGTAGATGCTTGTATTTACCACGAGCTCGTTGCTCTTGTGTGCAAGCAACGTGTCACACTAATTGTCATTTACTTGCTTATATCTGTAGGGGATCCCTCCAACTTGCAAAACATTCACTACCGTTGCTTGTAGGCAGGAGCATTGTATGCATCACGGGCCTCTCACAGTAGCTCGTAGAAGCTCACATTCATTGCATGTTTTTTGATCTTGCTTGCAAAACATTGTGTAAATTCCCATGCTTACCCGAAACTCACCATACATGTTTGCAAATCTATGTTATTGATTGTCACGTGAGTTGCATTTGTCTAAGCTACACATTGACTCGTAGGAAAACTACTACGTACATCACGGACCTCCTACAGTTGCCCGTATTCATTTCATATTGATTGCGAGTAAGCTGTTGTGTTTGTTGGAACTCCAATATTAGCATTTGCAGGAGGTTCTTCATACTCATTGCATATTGATCTTAGCCTGCCCACCACATCAAGAAAGACGCGCATGGTCAGTGCTGAGTGAAACTGCGGCCGTGATCTTCTTCTCCACCACACCAAGAAAGGCGTACAAGAGTCTTCAGTGGTACTTATTTGAAGATGCATTTTTTCCCTACAGGCATAGAAGCACGTACATAGGTACTTAGGTTTTACCCCACCACGCTAAAAAAAACATGCACAAGGCTCAGCCACCTCGTCGCGGGCGTCACACTAGGTTCCCTCCTACCATGCTATGAAAAGTCTGCATAGGTGGTCCCCCAGTGCGGCACAAGCAGGATTTGAGAGATTTTGAGTTTTAAAACTCATTTATACCTTTGCAAGCGAGCGACAAAAATATCGATGTGACAAAGATGATGGCTTACGAAGATTGAGGCCCACAATTTTCTTTTGCTCTATCTTTTCTCTTCTTAAAACTTTCTTTCTTTAGTTTTCTTCTTTCTTCTCTTTTTAAAATAATAATAATAATAATAATAGAGAGATAGGAGAGAGGAAGGTTAGAGAGAGAGAGGTCGTTCTTAAGTTTTTTAGGTGAGAATTGGTTTTTAGAGTGAGTGGGTTGTTGGTGGAAGTAGTAGAAAGGCATTGTAAACTGTTGTGGCTGAGTATAGGGGATTGGGTAGGGTAAGCTTGCTGTAAAAGAGGGATTGTTCCGACCATTGAAGTTTTCATGTGAGAGGAGGCTGGTGAGTTCAGTTTGCTTGGTTTAGTTAGGTCGATGGGATTTCACCAAGAAGTGCAAAAATGGCGGATTGAAGAGTTGGTGCGAAAATGGTGGATTGAAGAGTTCGGACGTTGGATGCTTACGTAAAGTTGCGGAAGATTATGGCATGTTGTGCAGGTCGGAGCTAGAAAGTGGGGTTGTGGAGGCCTGCGGCTTGAGGAGGGATCCGACATGGTTTACGACAAGCAGATAAGACCGAATGGGAGTTGGAGAGGGCTGGCATCGGCTATAGGAGGCGGGTTAAGCTACAACTGAAGGGATTCGAACAGAAGGTTTCACGTGTGCGAGGGAGAGGCCAAGGGAAATCGGGCAAATCAGGCTCTGTCCGAATAGATCGAGTGAATCAGAGGCTGCATTTCGGTCTTTGTTTGAATAGGAAAGGGTGACTCGGGTGAAGCGTCGGCTCTAGTAACAAGCACAAAGTCAGAACTTGGGTAGCTGGGATCGGCATGTCAATCGAACTTAAGCTTTATGATTGTGAGGGTCGGCTTGCAAAATTAAGGAAGGCTAGGATCGGGCTATAGAGGTGCGGGATTGAGGTGCCTACGTGGGTTATGGTCAAAAGAGGTGTGGGCTTCCGATCGGGCTAGAGGTGTCAACTGCGAAGGATACGGGAGATTCCGGGTTAAAAGTGAGGACTCGATCAGCTGCTGCTCGTGGGATCGAACCTATGCTTGCGGGTTCGAGGAAAGAAGAAGATGGAAGGAGAACAACTGGATCACCCGGTTCTTCAAATGGAAGGATCAGTTGGGCGCGGTGCTGAAAAGTACGACTTGCGTGCAGGAGGAAGAAAATCAGCATGGTAGCCAAGATTGTGAAGAAAGGCAGCATAGTAGCCGGGATTGTGAGGAAGAAATGTGTGCCGGAAAGAAGCAAAGAAAGAGCTCCATTCATTTTTCATTTCATCAATATGAATGAAGGCAAGATCGAGGTGGATTTGCACACGTGGGAATGGGTGACTACAGCCTGTTCAGAACGGCGTCGAATGTACAAGGGATGGGGCACAGACGATGGGATAGGCTTTGAGGGGAATTATATATATATATATATATATATATATATATATATATATATATAATACTTATTCTATGTGCACCTCGGTTTACGCGCATTTTTTGCCTCAAGATCTATGCCAATTTCTCCTAGCGAATTTTATTGGGCAGAATTATAGTCATTTTTAGATGACTTGAACGTTCTGAACACAACGACGAAGTTCATTTTGCGATCGGACATCATTTGAGCAGCATTGTACGTCAATTTTGGTTGTTATCGTCGATTTGAACCATTTTTGACCGATTTGACTGCGCGGTGGTCCATCTTAAACAAATTCGACGCTTCAATTGCAACGGCGCGATATGTTTGCCAATCAGAAGACATTTGACAGTTCAAGTGACGCGTCGCGCTCGCTAACTGTCACTCGAGTCGTCGATTCCAGTACCTTTGCTCATGCTATTAGGCAGATGTGTGGAGGTCAACATACAAATACAAGATTTCACTTCTTTATGGTAAATTTACCTTAATCAGTGCAATATTAAACACTACCCTTGAAATAAATAACATATTATAAGTTATAAATTGGTAAATGTAATACCAAAAAATATATTATGCAAAATAATGTTTACCTTATCAATACTCATATTTAAATTTCTCTAAAATGAACGATTTAATGATTATGATGGTGATGAGAGACCTCTAATGCTTTATGATGGAAAATTTTGACCATTAAAAAAGAAACCTAAAATTATGTGTTGCACAGATGAGGATGCTCGGGTGGATGAGTGGCTTTACACTTAGAGATAAAATTTGAAACGAGTGCATACTTAAAAAAGTTGGAATAGCTCTAGTGGCGGATAAAATTAGAGATAGTCTGCTTACATGGTTTGGTCACATAAAACATTAGCCTTCTGATAACCCTATTAGGAGAGTAGATATATTAGATCATACATATGTTAAGAAAGGTAGAGGTGGACCTAAAGAGACTTGGTTAGAAAGTATTAAAATTGACTCTTTTTTAGATTTAAAAGAGAATTTGACTCTTCATAGGGCATAATGGAGAAAATGATTCACGTAATCCGCCCCACATAATAGGATAAAGGTTTGTTGTTTTCATTGTAGTAATGTTTATGTTATCAATACTCATATTTAAATTTCTATAAAATGTATGATTTAATGATTAACCATAATAATTTATGTTCATATTATTTTTATTTATTGCTATATTATAGAATTGTAATTAACCATCGAGTTTAATTATGAAAACTTAAACCAACAAATTAAATATTTCAGAGCAAAGCTACTGTTGAGTAAATGATTGACAGGAAATGTTGTGTACAGAAAACGAGGACAGAATAAAAATAGAAATGATTTGTATTATATATGTTCAAACTTGTAATAGATACTTAGTAGTTCTTTCCGATATTTTTATATATTATTTTATTTGATGTTTTAGTTATTACTGGAAGAATTAAATTACCTTTGATTTCTTTCGACTTCGGTATTCTAAATACTCAGTCTAGCTGTCTAGGTCATGATAGCAATGACAAATGTAACCATCTACTTCCCATTCACAACCTTATGCTCACTAACACTTATTTATACGCCTTATGTTGCAGAATCCAATGCAATGGGCACATCACCTTATGATATCAATTCTCCAACAACTAAAAAAATGTTCACAGCCCTTAACATATATAAGTATCAAATTTATAAGATATTTATTTTTACGAGTTTTGACATCACCTTCAATTATACAATCCAATAAATACGTCTCCTGATCTATTAAGCACAAAAGAAAAATCTAAATTAAACTGTTTCTCAACCAAATCCACAAAGATTGAAAAAGAAAAAAATTTACATGACATTAATTTACTTAAACAAACATAATCCCACGATTATTTCTCTTCTAACCAAAATTGAATATCCCAAATAAAGTTCAGCCATGCGTGAAAAGTAGGAAATTCACAAGAAAAATGAATAAATATAGAAATCAGCATCATATACTGCTAGAAATTAAAATGGTATGCTTTAATACCTTATCCTCTCATTCTCATCTGCAGCAACAACTATCGGACAAAAGGGCAATAGTAGAGTGGCTTTTGCTCCAGTCTCAAACCTGGTATCCCAGCTAGCAATTTGATTGTTAAGTTGAGTTATAGCTGCATCAATACAAAACCATAAAAGAAATACTAATCAGTGGAAAAATAAAAAAACAAATAAATTAAACGCTAAATACAAACATCACAAAAAACTTACATGAATGCCGGCAATTAGCTATACAATCCAATGCAATTTTCTCTCTTTGTTCTCTTAAAGCTTGGTCATCTTCATTTTCATCTGAAGCATTAAGAAGAGGCCGAGAAAAATATTGATGATTCCAGTCATAAATAGAAGACCGAGGAAGTAAACTATGCTCAGAGGTCCCAACGGATCCAATAGAACCTAACAGTGGATCAGCCAACACAGTGTCTTGTGGACGACATAGTTGTGGCCCAAACTCCAATGAGCATACTCGCCTCAATCCAGTAAGGTAATTTTGCCTTGTAGAGTTAACAGGGGGTGTTCTAAATGTCACAGGCAATTTAACTGCATGGAAAACATAACAATAATAAGCAGGGTAATATTGTTCTTCTAAGCATTCCGGGTGAATATTAAAATGTATCAAAATTGAAGTACCAGAATGCATGTCAAACCAGGAAGATGAACGAGTCAAACCAATGGTAGAAGACATAGATTGACAAGATAAATATCCTTGGTGAAAACTTCCATCATTGTATTTTGCTCCTTTTGAAACTACATGCTCAATGCCAATAATAGCGAGTGCCCTTCTTCCCAAAATAGCAATTCGAGTGTATGGATCTTTTGCTAAAGAAGACATGGCAACAAGATATTGGGAGTAAACTACACTATCTAGAGACCTTGATCTAAATTGATTAATGTCTCCATCTGTAGTACTTTCTTTTACAAATATTCCAGAGTCTGAACAGTGAGAGGAATCATCCGACACAGGAGAATGATGCATAATCTCAGTGGATGCAGTGGGACTTCTTGTTGAGATCATTCTGTCTCGAGCACTAGCCATGCTGCCACAACCAACTCTCAGCTCAGAGACAATTTGTGAAGAGATGGAGCTTCCCTGCTGCTTAAATGCACCAGCAATTGGCTTCAGTTGCTTGTTGTGACCAAAGCCAAAGCGAGCAAGACCTGACATATGTGAAGTATCTACATCATTGAACAGCAATAACAAAGAAAAATAAATGCAAACATTAAATAAAGAAAATAAAATTTGATTAATTAAAAAAAAAAAAAACCCAATCTCAGCATCGATGATATCATGACGCCTCAATAAAATATTGCATAAACAGCCTCAGCTGAATAACTTGTGTCCAAGGTTTTAACAACCGGACCGGCCGTTGAACTGTGGACCAATCCAGCGGCCGGTCTGGTCCGGTCCTATAAGGAAAGTTGGATTGCAGTTGAACCGCCCAAAAACCGGTTTAAGCCTGGTTGAATCGGCTAACCGTCAGACCAACCACGTGGTAAAGAACCGCACGGTTCAGAAAACTCCAATTTTGAGTCGTGAATCGCACATCCAACGGGTGAAATTGCATAACCTAAATAAATTTACTAATATGGAATTCGTTAACCTAAAGAAAAATGAGATTTCCCTCACAGCCGCAGACCTCTTCTTCATTTCCTCTCCTAGGTCACGGGTCTCTCCCGACTCCTTTGTTCGTGAATTGCGTGCAGTGGTCGCTCGTAGCTCACTTGGTGAGTAGTTGCCGGCTGGTGGAAACGGACGATTGTTGTTGGAGTTAGAGATGCTCGGTAACGTCTCCTTCCGCCTCCTAGTGCTCTCCGCCTCTCACTCTTTCCCCTGCATCCCGTGTGGCAAAAGCTTCTTCTATAGTGCAATATTTGCAGTAAGATCATAATATTTATACAAATATAATCAATAACATTTTTTTATGAGCACTAGATAATTTTTTCACTCTATCCATTTATATTTTCCCAAAAAAAAAAAGACTTTATGCATTTATGATTTATGAATGTGTGGTTCACGTGACTTTGGAAGACAATTCTTGTGATATGAGATTTTTGTTTAAGAGATATATGTCATTAAATCTATGCAATCAAGAATTGAGATGTCATTGCTTATAAGTTTTGTTTACTAGCTTTTATTGATATGTCATTAAATCTACGTTTTTTACTCTATGTATTTATATTTTATGTGTAGTCAATTTGAATTAAAAGAGTCATTTTAGGGTTACTTATGAGTTATGGCGTATGCATTTTTTTTAGTTGTGAAGCTTAATATTTTCTCAATGAAGAAAACAAACTACGCACGCATGCTCAATGTAAGAACTATTTCATTAATGGTATTTTGAGAGTTTTACCATATTTTAGGTTGCCCTAGCTTTTCTTTATAAATATTGGACATGGTCTTTATGTTGCACCAAGGAATGGTCTTCACAATAAAATTATAGAATAGAAATAGATAAAGGCATCTAAATGGGGAGAATAAAATCCTTTCACTTACAATTTATCATGCATTCATGTATATACAAGTTATCTCAAGTAGGACGTTTGCCAAAAACAAACTTTTTGTTTTAGATCATGTATTACCCATCTTTACATTTTGAACATAGTATTACGCATAATATTGAAATCATGTTGAAAGTTATTTTATTTTAGAGTGTATCCACCGACAACTTCAGCTCATAATGTGCGTCGAAAAGGTAGATATTGTTTGGAATCACTATAGTGAGACTAAAGGCGCAGATGAAAAAAAGCAATTTAAATGCCTACATTGTGGGATTATGTACAAAGGTGGAAGCAGGATGAAACATCATCTAGCAAGAATTAAAGGTAACATTACTTCGTGCAAAAAAGTCCTAAATAACATTCGTCATCAGATGCAATAAAATTTGAAAGAAATGAGCATGAAAAAACAACAAACAGAGGAGTTGGAGCAGAGCACAACTTCGTTTGTTGAACATATGGATGAAGAAATGAGTTCTTTGTCACTTCCAAAATCACAATCTTTAGAAGCACACCATAAAGGCATTGATAGAGAAGAAAAAAAAAAGATGAGATTGAAAAAAATAACAGTAACGGGATCAACTTCATCCTCATCATAATATTCTTAGTCAGACCCATCCTCACTTTGAAGAAGATAACAAATCATATTATCTAGTATTTACATATTTCCTGGTTTAAAAGATGTGATTTTTATAATAAGAGTAACGGGATTTTGTCATTTCCTCTATAACTAATTACTAAATCAAATTCTATAATTCAATGGAATTAAAAAATTTCCTGTACGGATTCTAGAGTTATCATGTCCCTGTTTAGCACAGGAGGTAGAATGACCATTATTCTAATGTGCACCTGATTTTACACATAGTTTGGTCCGTTTAGGTTACAAATATGCTGAAAAATGTTCAATCATCACAGTGGCATGAGTAAGTGGTCATGGAGATAATCGGTGGTGCGTCCACGGATTCTGAAGAAGACATCATCCAGCCTAAAAAAATTATGAAATATTTATGGGTGTTAGAGCCAAGTCTTGTTCTGTTTTTAATTTATTTAAGTTGCCCGGTTCTCTGCGGGGTATTGTATGCCTTGATATTTGGAACAATTCTTACCTTGGAGCGCTAGAACCTTCTTTTTTCTGGATTCTTTTGACTTTTTTTTACTGCAGAATCTTTTTGCTATCTATACGTATAATATGTTTTTTTATTCAAAAAATGAGAGTTGAACACGAATTTCTAGTAATCCAAAAATGTGAAATAATTGATAGAGCAGTGTGATGGTAGCATTCAACAGGAGTAACTTATCAAAACTAGTAAGGTCTCGTTCATTAGATACAACAGAAAAAATGTAAACAGGTCATGATGGCTTGAAAATCTAGTGCTTGGAAAAGAAGAAACACTTAAAAGTGAAAGGACAACAAAGAAAAATTAGGCAGTTAGCACAATCACAAGTTCAAAATAAAATAGTAAAACCAGAAATGTACAACGCTAAATAAGAATGAAATGCTAGAATATATCAAACAGCCACTGCAAAAAAACAATTACAACACTGCTGCAGCTAAAACCATGAAATGACAATGGTAGTGGTGTTGGTTATGAAGGTGATTGTGGTGGAGTTCTGAAGCTTTATGCTTTCAGGCAGCTTAAGCGTGACATAGTTAAAGCCTCTACATGGCATTAAGGCACATTAGTTGTTAAACATCCAAAGCCAGTGGGGAGGCCATGTTGAAAATTTACACATATCAAAAGATCTATTTACATACCAACAACAAGCTCAGACCGAACCAAGGGGCTTCCATCTTCAAGAACTTGCAAAAGACTCTTGACAATATGTAGTTCAGCTTTAGACTTCTCATCCGCATCACAATCCTCAACATCTCCATGTCCATCTCTGAATGATTCAGACCCAACGTCTATAAGGGAGCCAAGAGAAAAGACAGCAGCTGCTCTAACCTGAAACAAAATGATTACTACTGTTTAACATAAAGTGTCCTGGTACAGTAGGTCAACTTGGCAAAGAGCAGAGGCAGGGGTGAACCTCTGGTTGGGGCTCTAACAGCAATATTGACAAAATAGCCGGTGCATCTGCTTGTAAACCGATGAGTTGTGCTTCATGGAAATCCTCCCACAATTTTCCAAGACAAATGCATAACCATTGAAGAAGGAGAGGTTCGGTATGTGCTTCATCGGAGCTTGCAAGTTGCAGATTCTTCAAGCATACATGTATGAGATTTTCTTGGATGCACGCCTCTTGTCCCAACCTATATCCGTCAACAATACCTGCTAAAACAAAGGCAGTCATTGCCCGCTGCTCCGGGTAAGCATCCATGCCATCGAGAAACTTAATAAAATAGTTATGGCCTCCATCTTTCACCAGATCATCCCGGAAAGAACAGTTTCCCTAAAAAAAATAAACAAATAAGGTTTCAGTTTAACAATCTTGAATGGCATGCTATAGGATCAAATAAAGGTAAACATTTCAACTTCCTCCCAACAACAAATCTTTTAGTTCATAAATAACTTTCTAGAACACTAGGGAATGCACCTCCAACTAACTCCAAAAGACAAGGATAAAGTAGAATGCAACGAAGTCAGGGTGTATATCAACAATACGTTGTCAAGAGAGAGGATTTTTGTCCAAATGAACACAAGAATTTGTTGCAGCTCCATTGCCTTTGATTGCAGCAGCTTGAGCACATAAGGAAATATTCCAACAGATAACGCCTGAGAAGCGAATTTGAAGATTACAAAGATTACTACATATACAAAATAAACACTTCCCTTGTTTACAAAATACAACAATGATGCCATTGAACTGATCATACCTGATTTACAGCCCAATGCCCCATGTCAAGAAATCTCCCTAGAAGCACCAATGCTCGAAATCGAAAAGACTGGCTATGCAAAATCTGAAATCGTTTAAATAATACCAAGATATTAAATTCTAACAGAAATACACAACAGAAGTATAAAGAAAAATTCTGGTGTTGCTGGACCAATGGATGTTGGGATGTGGGCTACGTGGTTCAAGCTTTGGGGATTGTGTGAAAATCTACAAGCTGAGCCCAGGAAAAAATGATATAGTCATCCTTAAAAGTAATTCTAATATCACTGCATTTTAAATAGCATCATTAATATTTAGGGGATTGAAGCATTATCTATCAAGCTATGTAAACCACTTCTTCCCATCTAAGAAACTTTCATCAATTAAACATTGTATCAACAATCTCCGCTTCAAATTCTTAAAAATAATCCATAATCTAATCCAATAGAGCTCTTACAAAGGTGATCAACCCCTCAATATGTCACCATAGTAGGAGAATAGTTTTATCAGAAAATATAATTTGCATATATAATTTGCAATATCATAACTGGTAAAGATTATTTTAAGAACAAATAAGGATTAAAAGTTTATCAGCATTTGAGTTTTTGTTTTCCTTCGTTATATTAGGGTTTCCTAGGCAATTATGAAGTAAATTATGGAAGAGAAAGAGAGAAAAAAAGGGTATATACATACATTTCGCTAGGTTTTATGTGCTCCCATAGGCAGCCATATGAGATGAGATGTGATTTGTCTCTTTTATTGTCCCTATGCACACCAGTTAGGGAATGCTGCATGCTGAAAGATAATTAAATATTGTTTACAAGCTCAATAAAAGTAGGAGATGCATGTGATACATTTTATCCCACCTTACAATTCTACTGCTGCTTTATGTGCATCAGTTTATTTATTTATGAAGCGAAGACAAATCATCATAATGGATATAATGATCAGTTACTTTCAATGTTTTTTTCTCATAGTTTGCAATTCATTCATAAGCTGTACTAAATTGCTAGCTAGTTAAAAGGCCATTCATAATTTCTTAAGGATGATAATAAATGATCCAACTCCTATGGCCAAAAACATTAGAGTACCACTTAAGGCTGTCTTAGCAATTAAGTAGGAATCTAGCAACTTTGAAGCCATCATTTTCACTAGTTTTAAACCCAAACTTAAAAGGAGTGCAATAACGGCGTCAAAATATTTTCTATTGACAATTGACTGTAGATTAAATTCAAAACATAGTAAATACTGTGAATTACTTGAATGATTTCTGCTGGCTAGGACCCACATTCATCAAGACTTCTGCCCTCTTACCTTCCATTTTCATTTCCACCACATTGATCTATGGGAGAAATATACTCAAACAATTCTCTCCAATTCTTATCACAGTATCGAAACCCAAGGTGTTTTCTCTTCCTAGTAGTTCTATTATTACAGTATTCATCACTACATTACCAAAATCATGTGGCTTCATTGTTTCACTTTCTTCAGTCTTTCCCTATTTTTCCATAACTGTAGCCTCCATCTCTGCAATCTTACAAATATTTCTCATTATTGCAACATTCATCATTACATTGCAGCAAACTATTCCAATTGTTATAGATTTCATCATTACATTGTCACATCACTCTTTTTATTTTATGAAGTAATCAAGAATTACTATTCTATGTTTTTTTTATTTTTCTAAGTTTTAGACTCTTATGTAATTTGGACTCAATATTTTTTTTATTTTTTTATTGTTCTATGATAGAAAACAACCCATGATCATGCTTAAATTTGGCGTTCTTACGTAGTTTCACTCCATGGGTTTTCTATTTCATGTGTCTCCTCATGTTCCCTACTAGCTCATGATTTTATCTGCTGGCTCATGGTTTTCCCTGCTGACTCTTGGTTTCCCTGCCTGCTGGCTCTCGGTTCCCTGCTGACCCTCAATTTCCCTATTGTTGGCTGCCTGATGGTTCAGTTTCCCTACAGCTAGTTGTTAAGGTTCCCCCATGTTGATTCCTATGTTGTGTTTTAACTTATCATTAAATGGGTTGTCTTAAAGGGCTTCTATTAGCTGTTTTGGTGGCACATTTAAGTGAACAATTTATGATCATTTCCCCCTTCTTCTAATATATAATATGGCTTATTTGCTGCTTGAGGTGGATGGTGGGTGAAAATAAATGTAAACCTAAGGGTTGTGAGCTAGTCTTCTCCATATCCTCTAATACTTCGTTTCAGTCTTCTTTCTACTTCTTCTCTCGAAAGTTTCCCTTCCACCTATATCTTTCTTTTCTTCAATTAAAAAAAAAACATAAGGGTTTCTTAGCTTGCAAGATGGCCTTCTCCCTATCCCCTATTACTTCGTCTCAATCTTCTTTCTACTTCTTCTCTCCATGATTTCCCTTCCACCTATATCTTTCTTCACTACAGGAGCTGTAAAGTGTGTTGTGTCATATTCTATTAGTATTTGTCGGAGGAGCATTGGTTTGTGTTGGATCATAATTTCAGTGGTTGTTAGATGATTTGTCTTTTCCTTTGAGCACAATTCCTTATTTTTGCGTGTATGCTCGTTTCGCATTTTGTCCGTAATAATGAAGTTATGTTGCACGTATACACCTATTTATAAGGCAGGCTGTATCGGACACGTGTCGGATACAGATACGCCTCCGATTCGGCACGTATACGTGTCGAATACGGCTTTGTCGTATCCAATTAAAATATTATTTAAATTTGATAGAACACGCGTATCGGATACACGTGTTCTATTAAAAAAAACAGAGCCACAATTTGCCCTATTCATTTCGGCTATCCGTTCGATATACATATTCATTTATATGGCTTAAAAATTTTGGCGAGCTAGGTTTTTCGTTTCCGCATAGGTGTTCGTCTTCTTCATTATAGGAGTGGCTCGATGATGCGAGCATAGAAGCGGACAGGATCATCTTTCGTCGACAAAGAGGCTCAACGACGCGAGCATTAAAGCCGACAGAATCCTTCGTCGACGGAGCAGTTCGACAACACAAATAGTGAAGGCGACGTGAGCATTGAAGGTTTGTTTTCTTCGTTCTTCGTTTCCTTAACCGTAGGCTCAGTACCGCTGCTTTCCTGGTTGCTTTCCCGTGTCTGCCTTTTACCCGATTCCTGTGCTGCCTTTTTGTTGCTATTCTGCCTCCCCTGGCTGCTGTTCTGTGACTGTTTTTTCCCAGTTTTTGTGTGGCCTTTTTGGGAGCTGTTTTGGATTAATTGCGAGGCTGTTTGGGTGATGTTTTGGACTGATTTCTAAACTATTTCTGGATAGAAATCTGGACTGAACTTTTGGACTTCCATTTCCCCCTTTTAATAGGTTTAATTGGAGATAATTGGGGTTGTTTGGCTTCCCTCTTTTCTCCTATAAATATAAAGTGTTTGGGCAAAGAAAAAAAAGGAGTTATGATGTTATTTTTGGAGTAAAAAACCTGAGGGTTTTTCTTCTTTCTTTGGAAGAGCTTGCGAGCATGTTCCGTTCTTCTCTTCTCCTCTAGGAAAGCTTGTGAGCTTGTCCTCTCTTCTTCTTCTCGGCTTCTAATCTCTTTCTTCTATCTGCAAGTTCGACGCCACTTGTATCCTTCTTCTCAAGCAAGAAAATGCAACTTTAGGAGTTTATATTTTAAAAGTTTGTAAGTGTCGTTTTATATTATAAAAAGTTTCTTTTTGAGTATTTTATGTAATTTTCTATTTCCTATGAAGCATTTATTTTGCTTGCAAAAATTTAGAGCGTTTTTAAATTTTTGTTTGCATCAAGTTTAGACTATTTGAAAATGATTAAAACTTTAAGGAAGAATTATAGTTGACACTTTTTATATGTGATTGTTAGGTTGTGATCATTAAGAGGAGCGAAGTGTATCAAAGAGACACTATAAGGAAGTGTTGTGCTTGTGATAAGGTAGGTACTCATATTTATTGTAAAAATTTCATATATAATGCTTTACTCTTTTATTCAGTGCAAACCTTTATAATTTTCAAAGTTATGTGATTTATGAATTTTATTTTGCAAATGATATGTTAGTAAAGTCTTTTATTTCATGGTTTCATGGTATTAATAAGTTTTCATGTTATGATCTAATTCATGGTTTCATGTTTTAAGTAAATGATTTATGAATCATGATAATTTTTTTTTATTAAAGCATATAATTGATTGAACATAAATTATAAGTTTATGATATGAAACTGTACATGTTGATGCGGAGGGCCCAGATAGTAAAGGGTCTCATCAGAGCCAAATGGTAAAGGGGGCTCATCAGAGCCAATAGTAAAGGAGTGACCAAATAAATGTAAATGTGTACCTGACAGTACAAACTTTATGGGTATCTCTGAGACGGGTGTTATAGTAAATATTATACATATTAAAGTTCATAAATATATTTTCTATGCATATTAAAGGTTTATGTTTGGGAAAAAGTGATGAAAAGACTTCTTATACATAAAGGTTTTGAAATTATGCAATATTGATTGTTGTTTAAAGTTTTTATATGAAAAAGATATTTTATTGTGGTTTTATGTAAATTTTTATGAGATTTATGAATTACCTGCTGAGCAAGTAAGCACACCCTTTGTTGTGGGATTCTTTTTCAGGAGAATCATCTAGAAATTGATGGCAGAAAGCCAGTTTATTTATCGTCGTAGGACTGGACGGAATCGGAGTGACAGATTTTTCTTTCAGTTTGTGTCTTGAGTGTGTAAGGCTTAGAATGCATGTGTTTTTAAGAACTTTTTGTATTGATGTAATGGACTTGTTTAGTAGTTTTTGATGTTATGGAAAACTAATAAAAGTGAATAAAATTATAAGTATATTTATGATTTAGTGGCTCTTTTATATCTTTTTGGAATATACTTTATTATATGTTCATGTTGGATAAATGTTACTTTTTACTGCTTATCATACGACTATCTGTTCCCGCCACGTTAATTTGGGCTAGTCGGGCCGGATCATGACATTGCCATAGTTTAGCCCTCAATAATACAAAATTGATCCAAAATAGTCCAGTATCTTGCAATTGTGATATAAAATTTATCCTAATTTTGTCCAATGATTTTAAAAAATTGATCACAATTTTATCCCAAAGAGATCATTTTGGATCAATTTTGTATAGTTGAGAGATAAAATTGAAGCAACATTATACTCTGGACTAAAATGGTCATGTATGAATAGTCGGGAGACCTTTAAAAATGATAGGCTAATTGTTTGTAAACATTAATTATAATTATATACTTTAAAATTATATAGGATATTTTTGGTTTTTTTTTTTGAAGCCAAATAAAATTGATGATGAAACATCAACAAGAAATTTTGCCCCCATTTTTTGAATACTAAGAAGAAATTTTGCCCCCATTTTGTGATTACCGCTCTTGTGATGAGAGAGCACTTCTGATTAAAACTAGTTATTACATAGGCACAACGTACCTAGTGTATAGTAGAAATGAATTTAATATATGATTTAAATTTTAACAACTTGTACTTAAAGTGAATGGTGGGGGGAATGATAATAAACCCAAACAAGATCCTGTGTTTTTTTCATCCTAGATTGTCATGGTCACTAGTCTGCTTAGTCAGAGAAGATAGTCAACCCAACTTGCACGAAGGATTTTTGTCAGGAATTATGGGTTGCATCATCCAAGGGAACTTCGTAGACATATGGTGGATGTTTTTAAAAGTGGGTAAATTAAAGTAGACCTTAACTAATAGAGGACTTGTGTCCTATGAAGTGCACTTTATGATTCATTAATCAAATTTTTTTAGACATTGAGGAATTTGCGAGATCATGTCAGGATCATAATTTAATGGAGTTATTTCATGGCAAAACCACTTGATCTGAGAGTCTTGATCATAACCATTTATCTTTGATGTCATTTGATGGCAAAATCATCAATTAGATGACACTTGTAATGATCTTATTGGTAAGAGATTTTTTTAGTGATATGCTCGATAAGATATTTGCTCTTTATGAGTTGGGATTATTATCAAATTTATCATCATCAATAAATAGTTGTGGAGGTGAATGGATTTCGCTTAGAAAAACATCCACTCCAAATCTAGAAGATATTCATAGGCATTGCAACTCAGTTAAGTTGAGTCGATTATCTCTTATAACAAAGTTGACTAAGGATAAAGACAAATTGGGATAACTGAACCATAGGATCATGATTGAGTTTATATCAATCCCCCTGCCCCACCATTTAATTTAAATGTAGGATGACAAATTTTAAAATCTCAATGCTAAAATTATTACTAGTACTTATTGTCTAATCTAATATCAAGCCTTAATCAAAAGTTCTATAGTTATCAGGAGAGCCAATCAACTTTAAAGGCTTGCACTTATAAAAAACTAGAACCAAATCATAAAGTCATCATAAAATGAGAAAAAAATCTCCTTATCTTAAATCTAATTTGCCTCAGAAAATTTAACCCGAAATATTTCCTTAAAATATTTAGGTGCGAGAAGCTAAGGCATAAATTTACGAAGCCCACACATGAAAATACATATAACTATAAAATTATTAATATTTGAAAATACATAAATATACAAACTTTGTATATTGGAAATAAGTGTACTTTTTCCCATGGTTTTGAAAATAGGACCGAACTGACTGGTTCAACCGTGAACGAGTCATATGACCAATTCGGTTCATATGAAAATTCAGCCAAGCATGGAACCAGTATGAACCGGCTCGAACCGCCAGTTCAACCGGCCAACAATTGAGCTGGTCCCATCTTTTAAGAATCAGCCGATTCAATTACTTTTCATTTAACTAACTAAATTAATTTAAAATATTAATTTAAAAATTCAAATTTGCTAAATTCGTTTAAATATAATATATTTTAATTTTATATATTTATTAATTATAAAAATCTAATACAAATGATTTATAAATGCAAGTTTATAATGTGAATTTGCTATAATTTATGGTTATAAATTTTATATAAATATATAGCATAGATTAATAATAATTTATATTTAATTTATAAGTTTAAATGTGAACAAAATTTATTTTTTATCACAAATTTATATCATTGTATAATTACTTATCAATATTATATCACAATTGAACCATTGAACATTGAATCTCTCATTTTCTTGATTCGATATCCATGCCGATTTTTACAGACTTATTTTTTTCCTTATTATATTTTAATTTACTGAAATAATAATTGATTACCTTTTACAAATAGCTTTAGTTGTATGCCTTTCAATTCTGGCTTTAGAAGAGAATAGAGGAACAACATAGATATGTGTAAAACCAATCATAGAAAAATTAGTTAATGAAATAAGTATAAAATGCATAAAGCTATTTAAAGAAAGGGAAAGTGGGAGAAGAGAGCGAGTGCAAGTTAGGGATCCACAGAGATAGAGAGGAGTTTGAAGAGTCGAGCATATGGCCATAAAGAGCATTGCTTTATGCCCAAAAGTGAGAAGAGAGTTGGAGTCATGGGAAGAGGGGTGAAAATGGGATAAGAAGTCACGTGAGTTGCAAAAGCAAGAAAGTGGGATTGGGAGAGCGTGATTTTGTGTTGTGCAAAGTGAGCAATCATGTTTAGTTGGATCTTCAAATGTTGTTTTTTGTTAATTAATTGATCTTTAGATCCTTAAGGGGCTTGTAATTGTTTGCTATTTAACGCGTAGGCCCCTCTACAAGTTTTTGTTTTTTTTTTTTTGAAGCTGGGACATGAGAATATCAAATCTGACCTTACACCCTCAATTAAGTTCATTATACCTTTAATCAGGACAATTAAATCTGGCAAAGCCAGTACGACCTCTAACTTGATAAGGTGTTAGTCATATTAATCAAGCCCAAAATAAATATGACCAATACATTGAGCTTGATTTTGGGGGATCGGGTGTTTTAGCTAGGACTTAATTAATCGTATTTAATTAAAAAATACAAAAAAAAAACCAAATTTAAAAACACTGTCACACAACAATTGGTTGAGCGGTTTAAACAGAATAATTACATTTATTAGTAACAAATTGTGAGGGATTTGAATTGCTTTCTGTAAGCAAATTAAAACAGACAAAATCACATAATACTAAAAATATTAAAAAAATATTGAGTAGGAAAAAAAATGCATGTAAACTAGATAAAAAGAGCCAGAAGTACCTTACCTGCAAAACTATCGGCAACTGTTCTGGAGGATTTTTGTGTTCAGATCCATGATCAAGCCACACTTCAAAAGCTGTCAACTGTTCTGTAAAAAACGGACTAGGCTGCAGAACAAAGAGAACAATAAATTGCACTAGGACTGCCTGTTTTTTTTTTTGTGTCACACCAATAACTATTTGAAAATTCCAGTAATATAGAATGTCCACAAAATGGCTAAGCAAAAAGTTAATCTCAAATCATAAATGTCAATATAACAGAAACCTGAAATTCAGCAGTTGGATCAGTAACCAGCTGTGGCAGTTTAGAAAGGCAAATCTCAACTGCCATGTCCCATGCATCCCTGGAAATTGAAACATGTGCTATAAAAAGCATGATGAGATCCATAAATTTTGAAAAGTAATAGCAAAATCTTGAAAATTTACCACATACGATGCTGATGAGTTGGTGGTAATAGAGGATACGATATTGGATTACAATTTGCATTTTTCATTATTCTTTCAGCAAGTAGGAAGTTTCGGAACAAACAAGCAACCAGTAGATCCTGTCTAAATAGCCTTTGAAAAAGGTCTGTGAATGCCATTCAAAGACGATTAACAGATGCGTTCAACAGAAAGGAAACAACCACAAAAATAAATAACTAGCCACAAAAATAGATACCATGAGGCAGAACATCCCATGCAATGGTGTCCGTAACCGCCGTAAAAATCCAGTTTAACTCCCCTAGAAGTGTTTTCCGATCATTTTGGCGCCCAGGAATTTTGTCAATAAGAGAATGGTCAATAGAATCATGAAGCAATGAGCGAGGGAAGAACCTATGCAAAGAAACAGCACCATTTTCTAAAAATAAGTTGCAGTTATTGCAAACACAATTAAAATAGGACAATAAAGAATACATCGGATTAGCAACACCACAAAGTCAAACAAACTCTAAATCTTAGAAGTGATATAAAACACATAACAATAGTAAGCATCCTAAGTTATGATCCACCAACACTTCTCGTCAAAGAGGAATGCAGTGCCCGACACGTATTAAACTCAACACTCCTCTAACACACCTCTGACACATGTCGGACACGTTGAAGATGTGTCAAATTAAAAAAAATATTAAAAATAAACTGGATGCGTGTTTTAAATATTTTATAATTTTTAAAAACATAATTTCCTGTACTTAAAATTTTTATTTATTAAAAATATAAAAAACTAAATTTATCTTTTCCTCTCTGCAGCTCCAAATTAATTGTCTGTACTTAATACCTGATTCTCCGAACATTCTCATTTTCATTTCTTTCTAGCGAATTCTGACTAGAGCTTCACAAAAATACCCAATACTATCTCAACATAGATATATAATGTCATCACAACATCAATATTTTAAAATCATTTCAACATTGAAGTCCGATGATGTCTTTACATTGATGCTTGACGCTAGCAATTTCTATGCCCATAATCACACCCCTGCGCTGTCTCGACATCTCATCTTTATCCAACATCATCTCAATATCCACTACCGTTGTCTCGACAACAAGGGCTGAAGTTATCTTGACATCAATGCCCATTGTACAACATCGATGCTTGACTCTCGACAGTATTTTCGTCTCCCCTCTCGATGCCTGACGTGATATCCACGCCCGAATCTCGACATCCTAATACTAATTATTTTAAGCACAGATCCTAGTTAAATGACTTATTAATTATCAATTATACTTAATATTCTACTTATTAATTTTCATACATTATTTTTAAGACATAAAAAATTATAATATCATGTTCAACTCGTGTTTGTGTCCTAAATTTTCAATAATTAATGTCTCATGTTCGTGCCATGTCCATATCGCAATGTCCGTGTCTGTGCATCATAGATCCTAAGGGTCATAAAAATAAGAGGGTTACAAGAGGAACCACATCAGCATTCCTTTTCAAAATAACTAAAAGTATAGGAATACAATCTTGGTATCTTAAACTGGCAATGTAATAAAAAATAAGAACCAAAAGAATTTTACACATTAGAGTCACGAAAAAAGTCTGTGAGCATAGATAATAAATCAGTATGTCAAAGCAGTAAATGAAACATCAAAAACATTAAATTGTCATAACTGGCAAAAAGTTTAGGATATTGTAAACTATAAATACATAATAATAGGGATATTCATCCCAGAAAAATAAAGCACTAATCATATCCAGAAGTTGCAACATAGAAATATATAAAAAAAGGAATTTTCAAAAGTAGCTGCAATTATTATATGTATAATCAAGCTGCACGGAGAACTAGTATTAGCCGCTACAAGGAGCCTAAATGCGTGGGAAACTACTCCTTTTGGCCGAATCAATATTCAGAAACACCAAGCATGAAAAATAAAAAAAAGCCAATATTTTTCCTATTTGTCACATAATCATTTGCTCTGTTCCAGTGGCTTCCAATAAATTAACAAGAACCCCAGATCTTAAGTTGCTAACAAATCAGAATTATGTCAATCATTAAGGAATGATAATTTTATGATTAAGGGCCAAAGAAGTCCCATCAAACAGTCAGAGTTGTTGGCTTGTAGCAGGTTTGACAATCCCATCCATGATATGACAATTTAAACAAGCTCACATTCCCTTAGCATAAGTATGCAGGTACGGCCTATGCTTTTCTCTCTCCTATCAAAGATTCTAAATAATCTCAATCCAGTGGAACTCTGTTTTGTCAGGGAAGATTCCTTTGCTAGATGAAAAACTATGTTCAGAGAGACATTAACAGATTAGAAACCCGAACACATTACTTGGAATCATGTCGGAGTCTACAAGATGAGAAGGTCATTCAATTGTTCCTGGCTGATAGTAAGACCTGGGTAGGGGACCCCAATCCACATCTCAAGTAACCAACCAGAAATCTTTAGGATCAAGCACAAAGCCCTTATAATTGATGGGAATGGTGTTCATTCATGGATGGAGAAACCAAAAAGGTGCTCTGAGACTGGCCTACAGCACTTAATTACAGTATGATAATGAACCAGGACTACAACATTTGATGCAATCAAAAGATTGCAAAGCCATACAAGGTAGGTCTCCCAAACTTACGACCATATATCGACACAAAAACTTAAATAAAATAACATAAGACAAAGCGACAACACTTAAACAAAAGACAACTTTCATATTTAAAACGACGGTTACAAACTTTGACAAAAATTTCCTAAACTTGCATTTCCATCGCTTGAGAAGAAAGATATAGGTGGCGTTGAACTTACGGAGAGAAGAAAGAGGTTAGAAGCCGAGACGAAGAGAGGACAAGCTCGCAAGCTTTCCTAGAGGGAGAGGAAGCACAGAGCAAGCTCGCCAGCTTTTTCAAAGGAAGAAAAACCGTCATGTTTTTTACTCCAAAAATCACAGCATAATCTCCTTTTTTTTATCCACAAAATATCAAATATATATAGGAGAAATGGGGCAGTTAAACAGCCCAAAATCACCTCCAAATAAACCAAAAAACAGGAGAATATGGAAGGCCAAAGGGCTGTCCAAAAACAGCAAACAAAGAGCCACAAAGGAAACCGAAAAAGGCAGCCAAGGGGGAAGGAACGGATGCCAAGGGGAACCGGGATAGCAACCAGGGAAACCGGAATAGACAGCCAAGGGGGGTGGGGGGGGAAGGAACGGGCGGCCACAAGGGGAACCGGAATAGGCAGCTAGGGGATCGGAACAGGCAGCACAAGGGGAGCTGGAACAGACAACCAAGGGGGGAAGGAACCAGCCACGGAAAGGAGAGCTAAGTGGGGAAACCAAAGGGCCATTAGAGAGGGGGGAATGAACCTAATTAATCTTCAATTTCTGAGCTTAAAAGGCTCTCTACTAGACATTAATGAGCTAATTCTAGTAGATGACCTAGAAGCTCTCCAAATTTACAATCCAAAATATTTTGACTCCCTTTTGCTTACATCAACATTGGATTAAATCAGGCATTACATAATTCTCAGAATCAGTTTTTTTTTTTTAATCACAATGAATAACATTAGGACCAACTAAGGAAACAAAGGAATTTGCGTTGCATAATGATACCAAAAATATCACATATCTTAAAGGAATATGCATTTATTCTAAATGCATTAACTATTTCCAGAATGATTAGATAAAACTAAAGGAATTTCATCATCCATCAAGCAATCTATTAAGAGGATTTCAATGCATTTGATTAATTGGCGCTCTATAATCTATATGATGAACTTTTGGCCCCATCAGCTGCCATGCATAAATTAACAAATGAATTTTAGTTGCCATTTCAGAGACCCCAAGAAAATGTATTTATCAAACATAGAACATATATTGATATTGAATGAGCAGCACATGCATGAAAGCTAAGTAAGCCTATCTTACCACTTTATAAAAAAAAAACAGGTAGATGAGAAAAAATAACTTTCCCATTTTGAGCTTTTAAATTTTGCTTAATAATATGGAACACCATCTTAAAAGAAAAGAAGAAAATGCATGCTCCGAAAACATGCGCTCCTGCATCTACCTCTGTTAAGAAAGTTCAAAATATTTTCCAAGTCAAATTTACAAAAGGAAAATTAGATTGAAGATAATATATCATCCAAAAATTTTGCCTTATTTTTTAAAGATTTTATGATATGGTTCCAAGCTTCACAAATTCACAAGCCCCTATAATTAATTACCCCTCCATATAACAAGAGAGAACTTTAGAGTAAGGCTAATGATTAAATGAGCACTAAATACTCAACATATAGTAGAAGTAAATTTAGTATGGGATTGGAAATTTATCACTTTATACTTAAAGCGGATGGTGGAGAGGAATAACAAAGAAACCGATCAAGATCTCATGATTCCTTCGCCATTAGTTTTCATGGTCCTGACCTACTTAATCAGAAATGATAGTTGACCAAATATAATTAAAGAATCCTTATTAATAGTTATTGATTGTTTCGTTAAAATGAACCTTATAGATCTGGGGTGGATATCTATCTTAAGGGGATAGATTTAAATCAACCTTAACTATAAGAGTACTTTTTACCCAACCAAGAATACCTTATGATTCATTATCATAGTTTTTTTAACCATTAGGGAACTTATGGGCTCTAGCTATAACTGTAGTTTAATAGTGACATTTCACGAGAAAACCACCCAATTAGACGATCCTAATTATAACAATTAACATGTTGTGTCATTTGACAATAAAACCACTGGCTAGAGGACGTATGTCACATCCTTGTTGGCAATAGACCTTTCGAGAATGAATGATTGCGATGCACTCAACAAGTCATTGCATTCTATGAGCTAAGATTGTTCTCAAATTTACTACCCTCAACAAATCATGATAGAGAGCGGATGAATTTTCTTTTAAATTTTGGACGCTAAATTTTGCTCAAATAATTTTAAATCTTGATAAATATTGAATTTTTAAATTTTTATTAGAATTCAAGCCCAAATGATGAACATTGGAATTTGGGGGTGTTTTGAAATTATATAATCCTCCCCAATTTATATCTTCTATCGTTGTCATCATTTGGTATTTGAATATTTCATTTTATTATTTGAATCTAGTCAACTCTACCCATATCACGTCCCACAGCAACACCAATCCTAACAGTTGATGCGGGTTGCGAAAAAGTAAAATTATAAATCATTTACATTACATTTCACAAGTCATCAACATGTAGAATAATCATAAAAGACATTAAAACCTTCAATGCTAAGCTAAAGCTGTTAAAAATTTTATTTGTAAATTTAATATATACAACAAATACACGAGAGCCAAAACATGCAACTATTAACAAATAACTGACCTTAATCCAAATTTTTCTTTCAATGACAAAATAAAACATAAAAATAAAAATTGAACATATCACAACTCGGGTTCAACCTTAACCATGCCCTTTATTATAAGAACATACAAAACAATAATCTGGTGAGCAACGATGCACATAAAGATATGCAGCTTTAATACAGAAAGAAAGTATAAGAAAATAATATTTAACATGTGTATCAACAAATAAATCAATATGTACATATAGGACTCCTATGTAATCAAATTAAGTCACAATACTTTAGTAGAGATTATGTAAGGTAAGCATGATATAAAAAAACTATATACAAGAATTATGTTCACTTGAAGCAGACATCTAATCATGCCACATAATTCCAATATTAGCTCTTTAAGACAAATTCAATTACCTACAATTTGTAAATTATACATTGTAATATATCATCACACACACACACACACACACACATATATATATATATATATATATATATATATATATATATTATATTTATTTTTTTATATATTGAGTTTGACCATCCTAAAATAAATGATCTGGATTCGCCATTGATATGATTGTTTATAAGATCGTTAAAATTTTGATACTTTTATGCTTAAAATTTTCTTTCATATATGTATGCATATACATTATTTTGAGTTATTACACATGATTACTTATGTGTGAGAGTATTTTGCTTGAGTTTTCTTGGATTAGTAAGAATAAGAAATGACTAATTTATAAAATCCCAATAAACCATTATTGGCATAGAGTATAATAAGCCCTATAAGATTGAAATCCATTATATAAATTATCAGTATAGTGGCTCAGCTAATGGGAGATTCGTAGAGTACGCAAAATGTTAGTAAAGAAGATGGGGGAGATAGACATCTACAAATATTTTAGCGAGTGAAACAATAACTTTTTAATGGTACAATGGAGCCATAAATAATAAAGAATTAGTTATTAAGAACAAAAAATATTCTAATGTGATTTATTGTCCAAAGAATTGAATGAACCTCTTGTAGTATTTTTATTTGAGGGAGAAGTAGAATGGTGGTGGTTAGGTTAATAGAAAGAGAAATTTTAGGGTAGGTTGAATTCTCTGTTACTTGGGAGGAGTTTACCACTACTTTTAGAGGGTGGTTAGTTCTTCACTCAACTAGATAGTAGATAGATGAAATTTTTATGACCCTTATGTAAGGATCGGAATTATATGTTAATGAAAAGAATATTGAGATTTCGGAAAGATAGAATTTTTAGTTGAACTATATTTCATGTTGTCTTATTATTGAGATATTTTGATTTCACTTCATATCTTATGCTTTTTTATGTTTTATATTATTCACTCATTAGTATATAGCAAATTTATCATTTTCTGTTTACGTAATCTTTTGATTTTGAGGCTTACGCCTCAAAACGCCTTGAGGCTTATGCCTCGCCTCACGAATGAAAAACGCCTCAATACCCGAATACGCAATTTTAAACATTGTACACAACTTGGATTTTTATCAAAATTTCCCTTGCACTATGAATATCCTAAATACAAATCAACTAATGTTAAATGAAAAGAACACTAAAATGGAGTACAAAAATTAATTTCTTGCCCCCTTCTCTAATTCTCCTCTTCTTCTATCTCTTCTCTTCTTTCTACTCTTTTCATATTTCTTCTTTCCTACTTACCTCTTCCTGCTTATTTATCTTCACCCCAACCTCCTATCTTCCCTACTATCACCCTTACTCCACTATCTTCACATCTACTCCAAACAGCTAACCAAACAACCAACAAAACCTCTCCCCTATCCTCTTCTTTCTCTTTCTTTTCTCTCTCCTCAATCTAACCGGCAAACCAAAACAATCAGCCAACCTAGCTCCTACACTCACCTACCTCATCTAACCGGCACCCAACGCACTTACCATCTATGGCCAGCTCCAAAACCCCGACTCCAACTCCGAACCGATGGCTATCCTAGCTCCAGCATCCCTGAATGTGCCTCCTCTTGATGCTCCAATAGCCAAACCAAGAGACTTCCTAATACAAATGCCTCAATTTAGCAGGAAATGAGGTATAATAACCTAATGCAATTTATATTCCTTAACTACCTCTTTCCCAAACATGTTAGCCAACTCTTCACAGATATGACCCTTGCTACAATAATTTGTATTTATAAATAGTAAATAAATTTTATTAACTTAGAAAAAAATGAAGATAGGATTTAATTCTCTAACTTCCAATCCTTGCAATTCGACATATAGTCCTATATGTCAAATTGTTATATTCAATAAGTAGGACACAATGACATTAAATTTGGTAATTTTCATGAAAGTTCAAAATTTTGGATATTTTAAAATTGAACCAAAGGTGGCACATACCTGATCAAATTTGGATCTTACAACCCACTTGCTATCATAGAATCGGGTTCAAATGTTAACTTTGCGAGATAACATACGAGCAATGAATTCAAGTGTTTGTATTTTGTAATCCAAACATAAAATCAAATAATATCATATTTGATAGATGTTTATTATAATATGACTTAAAAAATGATTCTTCTAGAGTGAGTTATTTGAAATTTATTACTTGTATGCCTCGCATGAGATTCAAATCTTATCAACTCCAAGCCTTATAAAAAGAATGATCATAATTAAAATATAAGACTTACGACTCTGCTATATAAACAAAGTGGATCAGCCCAGCACATCCAATAATACATTGGACCTTATGTTGTGTTTACCTTTTAATACAATTTCACAGCAGATCGGCCATCCCAAGCATGCGCCGTCACGAAAAGACTATGGAGTTTCCGGTAAAATTCCAACAAAACACAAATAGTCTTATGGGCCTCTGAAAGGACACAGCTCAACAGGGGACAGAATGCAAAGGGTACGATCGCACTATCCCGTAGGACAAAACGGTCGCAGGCCTTTGTACTTTTCGCAAGCGGGCCGATGGGAGGGTAGATGAGATCATACATACGATTAACCATTGAGAATAGTAGCTTTCGCCTACGCACCTCGATGGGTAATAATATGCATACCTGATCGAAGTCACAAGATTTCCCCCACCTGATACACCAGCTCGAGTGGAGTTATTTGATGTGGGATTCAGTTTCCCATGTGGTTAATTACATCTTAAGCTGGGACCTATGAAGAGTATCGATTAAGGATTATATATTATTCTCTCAGATGGATTGGCTTGGGAGAGGTGGAGGGAGACTAGGGGAGCTCAATGGAACCAAGGCTCGGGTTTGAGGAGGCTTAGGGAAAAAGTAAAACAAGATCCCCTCTAATGAAGCCTTGGACCCCTATTTATAGTCCCAACCCTATGATAGACGGCTATATATGATGGCTACTAGGGTCAATTAGGAGGGAATTAAGCTTCCTTAGTCGTGTTTTGGGTCAAGGGGGGGCTTGGACGGATTTAAATGCTAAAGGGGTCATGTATTTGACCTAAATAGGTCAAATTTGACCAAATAAGGGTTAGGTTGACCAAGCCAAGTGTTGACTAGGTCAACATGGCCAATCAAGTCCAAATTAATTAGGGATTGAACAAAGGAGGATTTGAAATTGATTGAAACCTAAATAAGGGTGATTTGGGCTAGTTTGGTCAACCTAGGTTGACTTGGTCAACCAGGTTGACCCAGGATCTGGGTCTGGGCTCAGCAAACTTGGTTTGACCCACTGAATCCAATGGAAGTGGTCTTGGGGTCTTGGCTTGGTCAATTTGACCAAGTCACCCTTGACCCTAATCTGGTGAAAAGCAAGGTCAACAAGTCTCCACATATATTTGGGCATAAACCATTATTTATACAACCAAATAACATTTACTCCCATTTTGATGTGAAATTTAGTGCATTCCTGCCGATTTTTCTCCTAGAAGCCACTTTTTGTCCGAGCCTCTGCCCCAATGATCGCTCCCCATATTCTTCACACCATCATCTTTGGATTCAAGATATAGTAGAATACCATAAGTTTTTTAATTTGATATACAATCCATTTTATAAGCAATTTTATCCATCAAGTCGAACACTTAGCTTATATTCAAAGGAAAATTAAAGCAACGTGAGCAATCAACTTAGGAGCAAAACAATTTCTCAATTTTTTTTATTCTCAGATGGAGGATTTTTTTTTCAGAGAAAGCCACATAACTGCATCCTCTGGAAAAGACAATAGATGCATTTCAAGTATTCGTTGCAGCACTGAGAAATGCAACAATGAAGATAATCAACTCCTGATCTAAGAATAGAAATTGCTTGTTTAAATACGCTTTATGAAGCTGAAATGGTTGGCCAGTTCTGTTAATAAAAAAGGGCATAAAAACAACCGGACAGTTGCAGTAAGAGCTACTGCTTGCACATCTGAACTAGGAGATGAAGTTATTATAGTAAGGTATAATCCAAGAATCTAACCTAGAGGAAAATCAAAGGTAAAGTCATCAAAAAAAGATTATAGTGCCACCACCTTAAAATACGGTAATGATAGTGAAAAAATTACAATATTTTCCCAATCTTATAACACACTAATTATCGCATGATGAATGCTTGACTTATTGCTGGTCAAGATTTAGCAATATAAAAAACTACTGACACTTATAAAACTAGATAGATTTATAAAAATGGATATAAGCAGACTGACATCAACAAGCAAATGATAGACTAACCAATGCAGCGCCATTTTTATCGGTGTGGTCAAACATGATGTGAACAGATCAGCTGGAAATTCATCACTTTGTGGAAGAGTTTCCTGTGCCTCACAGGCAGCAAACAAAATGCAGTCATTTGAGGAGCCTGAAGCACCAGAAGAGTTCGACTCTTGATGCTGAAAGCAATAATCATAACAAAAAACAATAACTAAGGACTCCCAAAAAAAAAACTAAGGACTCCAAAAAGTTGAATGAAACAATAGAAAAATAATGTATGTGACACAGCAAAAGTTGGGCGCAATCCTAGTACCTCAATTAAAGCATTTACAATAACGCCTGCAGCTGAGCAGTCAAAAACATACATTGATGGAGTCTTTAGCCAGGAATCAAGTTCACTTATCGGCAACGGAATATATTGAGTGTAGCCCTGCAAAGTGACAAAATAACCCACACTAACTAGAAACCATGCAAACAGCAAAGAATCAAAGCCTGATTATCCGAAATGGTTTAGTCAAAGTTTACCTTGTTGAAAACCCAGATTTCACCATTAGCTGTTGGTTTAGGCACACCATGGCCATTATAATGGAAGAGAACTCTCTCAGACTTAGCATTTTTACGGCAACTGCAACAAAGCTTTTTCACTTCCTCAATTGTAGGATCAAGTTGAAGACCATAACGAGCCTGTTATGTATTAGAATAATTAAAATGCCTAACGTATTACATGCACATCAACCATTCTTACCCTAGGTTGCCATCGTTCATATTGAGCATGCAAGCTTTTTCCAATTCTGTCAAGAACTTTTGCACCCGTCACAGAGAACGGATCTACCAATTTCAAAAAGAGAAACTAGTAAGCCATCGGTGTCAAAGAGATAAACAGTTTCAGGAAAATTTTACTAAATTTCAACAAAAGGTGACTGGTAGTACGAATAAGGCCTTGTTTGATTATGTTGTCTGCTATTGTAAGCACAGTCATCACAACGATCACACAGATGGATGACCTGCTCCATATAGGTACACATGCAATGAAGGGATTTCCATGTACATTTTCAACAAAACAGATTATATTTAGGCTGCAGCAACATGTTACCAAATAAGGCCTAAGTGCAATATATGAAAATATAATGCAGTATATCCAATATTCAACAAACAGCTCCTTCAATACAAAGCACCTTCTCAAAGAAGCAACTGTTTTTTACTACCCAAATAATTCAGGTAGGGAAATTGATCATCATAATGAAGATGATGATGATGATGATGGTGGTGGTGGTGGTGGTGAAGAAACTACATTTTTAAGCAATAAAACCTTGACTAACGCAACATTACAAAATTCAATCAAATGAATAAATAGTACTAACAACCTATGCCAGCACCTTAAATAGAGTATTAGAGGCTATGGTATCTAACAGGGATAAGGTGATTCTCAACCATTTTTGGAGGGAGTTGCTCAAACTACAAGGGACAGTATTGAAGAGTAGCACCGCCAACCACTTACAGATGGATGGCCAAACAAAAGTGGTCAACAGGACATTGGAAACTTACTTAAGATGTTTGTGTCATAGACACCCAAGTTATGGGCCAGATGGCTAGCATGGGTTCAGTATTGGTACAACACCTCTTTTCATTCTGCTTCTCAGATGACCCTATTTAAGGTGTTGTACGGAAGGAATCCACCTCACTTAGTGCACTATGGGCGTAGCAGCACTCCAGTTTCTTTAGTGGAGGAGTACTTGGAGAAGAGGGATAGGATATTGGAAGAGTTGAAGAGGAATCTGCTGAGAGCTTAACAAATTATGAAGAAGCAGACAGATGGGCATAGGAAGGACATCCAGTTTGAGGTAGGGGAAAATGTGTTCTTAAAGCTCGATCGTACATGAAAAGATTCGTAGCCGTTGAAATCCAGCCGTTCCTAGTACAAAGGATCCAATGGACACAAAGATCAATCCGTGGGATACTCTCACGGATCACGCCATAATGAGGAACGAATTTAGGAAAGATTTTATTTTCTTATTTGTGTATTAAAATATGCAAATATTATTTCCTCATTAGGATATCCTGTATAGATCTATAAATAGGGAAGATTGTAATGAATAAAGCAATCTTTTTCCCTCTCAAATTCCCGTCTTTAACAAGGTATCAGAGCCAATTCGCCGGCCTTCATCGCCGACCCAATTCTGAAACCGAATCCCTCGATCGTGCAAGGAATTGCCGCAGACGGAAGCCTCGGTTCCGCCAGTTACTTCCGCAGACGGAGACTCCGATTCTGCCAGGCACGGTCGAAGGAGAAAAAGGGAGTGAAGTCGACGAAAGGAGGCTCCGTTTCCGCCAGGGTTGTCGACGAAAGCTCGAGCGACTGGAGCGGCTCCCGATCCGATTGAAAGGAAAGTTGACGGAGGAGCGCCGAAGGAGCTGAGTCGAACAGGCAGGAAGCCTGATCCGACAGGAAGGAAAAATAAGGAGGAGTCGAATAAGCCTCCTGCGAAGCAAGAAGACCCCGAACGAGCGGCTCCCTGCGTGCGGGCCCTAGCTGAGTTTTTCTGGATCGGTTCGGTCCAGGGAGGTTAAAAAAAAAGGAAAAAAAAAAGAAAAAGAAAAAGAAAAAAAGGGAGAAAAAGGAAAAGTTTTTTTTTTTGGAAGCCTTCATTGCTAACCACAGACATACATATAGTCTTGATTACTATCATAATGTCAGAAATTAATTCCTCCGACAGTATTGAACAAACTGAGGAGACGATGGTGCACTAAGGACGAGGTGACCTTCAAAGCATTCAACCTTCCTATCGTCTAAATGGGAAGAACTACCTGAAGTGGTCTCAATTTGTGAAGACCTACTTAAAGGGGAAAGGTAAAATACATCATCTCCTTGGAGGAGGACCAAAAGAAAGAGATCTCAAATTTGGGGCATGGGATGAAGCAGACTCCATGATTATGTCATGGATGTGGAATTCCATGACTCCAGAAATTAGTGACACATTTATGTTCCTTTCAACGGCAAAGGACATATGGGATG